TTGCAGATGGAGTCGAATGATACTCCATCTTAAAGGTAATTAACGTTATTTGGAGTCATTTTAGAGAGCAAACTAGAGTCAAACATAGTAAAAGAATTCAAGTTTAGTAAAAATTGACTCGAAAATGAATTTGAAATTGACTCGATCTCATATTCAAAATAGGAACAGAAAATTACATTTCTTTTAAAAAAATAATTTGATCAATTATTCTATTTTTTCTTATTTGCAAAATAGAATTAATTTTAGCGAATTTAAGTTGAGTCAAAATTGACCCGAAAATGAAGTTGAAATTGACTCGATCTCATATTCAAAACAGGAACGGAAAATTACATTTTTTTTTAAAAAACAATTTGACCAATCATTCCATTTCTTCTTACTTGCAAAACAGAATTACTTTTAGCGAATTTAATTTAGGTGATTTCTTGAATCACTACGTATTATAAATGATCAAGTACTCGCTGATCCCTTCTTCGTAGTTACTTTCTTGTAACTCATGGACGGTCGAAAAAAAATCTTTTTTGACTATTCTCCGGTTTGATTAGCCCAGTGAATGGCTTCTCGAACATAATGCTGTGTAGATCGATCGGTTGACAGTCCGCGCGGAACTTTTTTCAGTGATTTAATTTGCATAATGTTTAACTTGTGGATTGTCAATGTAATGACCATAGTGAGTGTCCGAAGCGAGCCATCATTTTGAACGCTGCTTCAATTCCTTTTACCTTATATTTCAGAGTGCTGTGTAGTTGCCACATTTCACGGATTCTCGTCATGGGTCAAACCGCGACTGAAGGGTCGATCATGAGTGAATTATATTTGGACAGCATTTTGCAATTTGGAACTATAAATTTTGGCTCTTCTGGGAAAACACTTATGTGGATAGGGAAACTAATGGCACATACCTACGTTGTTTTTAAACCGGGCCAGAATTTATGGTTCCAAATTGCAAAATGTAGTCCATTTTTCTCAATTGCTGGAATCTCCATTTAGAGAGCGAAAAATTCAGGAAACACAATCAGTGTGTTTTCATAATGATTGTCCAACGTAGTTAAGAGAAGCGAGTTTGGAGATGCCTGATACCCCTCGTTTCGGGCCAAAACACTTGTGGTTTGAGATTTTGGGAAGTCGAAGGTAGAGGTTAAAATGAAATCAGTGCTACCGAGAAATTTCCTGGTTTTTATTTTAAAAATTAGAGGGGATCATTCTGTATTGTGTAATTTTTAAAGAGAGTAACAGTTAGAGGGAGCGAGAGGGGATGGGGTAAAAATGGGAGGAGGGTCCGTGCGGCAAAACCGATTGATGACCCAATGAGTGTAATATTACCTTTAAACATTATTTATGCTATCAATTTAATCACAAAATTATTTACGAAAATTTTATCATTAAGGTGCATAATGCACTGGAAAAAAACACATTGGATCTAGAGTCCACACTCTTAAAAACATTGACAAGAAAAAATACTCTTGATTCAATATCGGATTTTTGCTTGAAATAATACGAAATCCGCTTAAATTAAGAGGCTTGGTTCTTGATTTAAGCTAGATTCTGATTGAATCAAGAGTACTTTTTCTTGTCGATATTTTTGAGAGTCTGGACTCTAGATCCAATGTGCTTTTTTTCCAGTGTGTCGGTTAAAACTTTCAGAACTTGAAATGGTACAATTTACAGCACAGCGAATCCGCGAACACGCAATCAACTTTACACTCAACACTGTTCTCGGTTACATCTACTTTTTCTGGGTTAAAATCGTAACTTACCGCGTAAATTGCTCTTACATACTTTATTTCTCAAAAATATAAATACTTTTCGCGCCGACTTTTAATCGGGACTTATTTTCCAAGAGTTTCGAAGTCTGCTGGCAGCGATATGTGTCGAGAGGTTTTTTCCACACCCTGTAACCTATATTCGGTCTCCACTTTGTGGAAACGCACGCTGAAATTTCCAATTGTTTAATCACATTTATGAAAGTATGACATTTACTGCAAAGCCATCATTATGGACATGCCACTCGTGGTGCATACCCCTCCATTTGAAGGCTCAGCTGACGTTGCATAAATACCGCTTTATTGTCGCGGTGTCACTCTCAACCATGCTCAAATGCGGTCGCCGGTCGCGTCGATAGTCCACAAGGATAATTCATAAAGAGCTAGATTTAGTGCTGTGTGCGGTGCACACTTTCTGTCCTGTCACTGATGCTCGACTTTTTATTTTTCGTATTTCTGAATTTTTATTCCCAAAAAATTCATCGAGGTTTTTTACACCGTACCCTTTTAAATACCCTCAAATTATCGATCACATAAATGAGAAGCTGAATCATCCTAAAAATAAATTTGTAGAAATCTGTAGTCGGAAGAGCCCTTGTACCCTCAATCACATTTTTATCGAATTTTTATATCAAAAGAGAATGGCACGGTAACCCCATTTTCCTCAATATAATTTGCAATATTCTCAAAATCGTGAATTTCGTGCAGGGCTTTGTTAATCGAAACATATTTTTGATACGTACCGAGAGAAACTCTCATTAGTATATCGAGAATGTATTAACTCTAAGTATTATGCACATTGAGAGTTTTTTACACTGAGGAAAGTTAAAAAAGTATTCCCAATAACGTCTCTCCTATCTTCGGCTGTGTTGCTTACGTAGTTTTTGACGCATCGCTATGAATAAGACAAACGGAACCAACACAACATGTAAAGTAAAGCAAGGGAAACGACGCACGCTGATAACGGCGCAGAGATACGACTATTCGTGCTTGATGGATGTCCGTGTTGCGTCTGCAAAATTGAAGGCGCGATGGCGCGAGGCGTGGACTCGCGATGCTAATACCTATGGAGTGCATTTTGCAATTAGGAACTACAATCTCTCGCTCTTTTTTAAAAACACTTATGTGCATAGGGAAACCAATGGTACATACGTTGTTTCTGAACTGAGCCAGAAATTGTAGTTCCAAATTGCAAAATGTGGTCCATATCTAAAACTCGTATGGAGCGGCCCCCTACAACTGGCAAGCCACGTGTTTTTCGCAAGTCTTGCGGGTCAGTTTGACCTACTTTAGGCGCCTAAGGGTTATATAAAAAAATCTTGTAAAACTCCCTAGTAAATCTTCAAGGAGTAAAAATCGTTGATTCCACTGCAAAACAAACCCAGGAATGCCCTTTCTGCACCCTCTGCCTTTTGATTAAAGTGCATTCGCGAGATCAAAGCGAACGCCCCAGTAGAATGCAACAATTTCAGGATGAAGAACTTCAAATTTGCAAATCTTCTCGCTGGAATAGATCAAGTTGGACTCAAGCTCTCTCGGTGGTTTAGTTTTTCTTCTTCCAAGTCATCCTGTGATCATCGTCGGGTGACGCGCGCTGTACATCCCACACAAGACACACCGGATTACATCGATTGTTAACCCGGGAGAAGAAGTAAACCAACTCACTCGTGCATGTGTGTGCTTCACTCGAATTGCAATGAGCGTTTCCGCGCTGAGTAAAACGCCGTATAATCATACGATTGTTGCCAAATTTCCCTCAGTAAGACGTTTATTTTAATGAAACACTGGAAAAAACACATTGGATCTAGAATCCAGACTCTTAAAAACACCGACAAGAAAAAGTACTCTTGATTCAATCAGAATCTAGCTTAAATCAAGAACCAAGCCTTTTAATTTAAGCGGATTTCGTTTTGATTCAAGCAAAAATCCGATTGAATCAAGAGTATTTTTTCTTATCAATGTTTTCAAGAGTCTTGACTCTAGATCCAATGTGTTTTTTTCCCAGTGAAAGTTATGAACATTTTTCTTGGAAATTTGCTGATGCTTCAGATCAAGTGCGAATAAACTTATTTGAAAAATTGGGGGAAAAATATTCACACGTTACCCTGGATATTCTTATTTTATTGAAGGAGACTTGACAACGTTTCCATGTTCATACGGCGTTCCTCAACACGACAGCGCAGTTCGACTCAAAAAAAGCGCTCCGCTGATGTAAAGGCGTAACTCTTTTTCCGAGTGGGTTTTGAAAAGTATGGAATTACACGTAAAATGCGGGTCATTCCATGGTGGAGTTATGGCTTGATGTCTTAGAGCGAAAAAAAATTTGGAGCGCCAACCGAGGCGCATTGCAGTGAGCCAGGGCTTAATTTGCTGATGTCAGCGGGCTTATTTGCACACATGCAGTTTTGAAAATAGCGGCAATTTTCAGAAAGTGCAAGTTCATGATGTAAGCAAGATAGAGTCACCTGCTAAACTGTCCACCGTGCCCTTACGGAGGGCGTTGACCCAGAATTGGAGGAAGTTTAGTTCTATTTCACTGTCGTGCTAAGGAAGAATACCGTATGAACATTTGAGAGTTGCCAAATTTCCTTCGATAAAATGTTCATGTTTAAGGAAGGAAAGTTATGAACATTTTTCCTTGAAATTTTCAGGAACTTTAGGTGAAATTGCAAGAAAAATTATCTGAACAATTGGAGGGAAAATATTCATAAGTTTACCGGGAAATTCGTGTTTTATCAAAGGAATTTTGGCGAGGCCTGAAGGCTCATAGGGCGTTTTTCTAGCACGGCAGTATATCCTCACTCTCTTTGATAGATCGCTCCTCACAGGACGAGAACTGTGTACGTTGAGACAATTATTGAGACATGAATCGCTTTGCGTTCCGTTCCGTTCAGATTTCAAATTTATCACAATATTAATTCATTTTGGAAGGATTTACGTGACTTGACTTTAAAACTTCCGTTTATTTTTATTTTTTTATCCATGAAAAGTAAAAATAAACAAAATAAAAAGTACAATATTCTAAATTGCGTGTGCTGCCTGCCTCCCCAAATTTGTATAGCTAGCAATACCCTAGTAGCACAATGGGTGCAAAAATGTTTTAAAGATGTTTCACTGAACCTTAGCACGGCAGAGTAAGATGGTTGATTTGATCGTTCTATTGTGCTCTACCTAGTCAACCTGTCACCTGTCACGATTTTTTTCGCATATGAATAGAAATCAATCTCCCTTTTCTTGCAGGAGAAAAAATGGTGAAGGAAATGGCGCTACAACTGGGTCGGCAGATTGTCCTGAGCAATGAAATAAGAGGCTGTATGGAGACGGATCCGAACTTGCCGATGCTTTACATCATCACGCCTACGTACCGACGTCCGGAACAAATCGCAGAGCTCACCCGGCTGGCGCAGACTTTGATGCACGTCAAGAACATCCACTGGCTCGTGATCGAGGATGCAACGCAAAAAACCTGGCAGGTTACGCAACTACTCGAGAGGACCGGCATCAAGTTCGAACATCTCATCGGTAAGCACATCAACGGGCTGATTGTTGAAATTGGTAAACAAAACTATAGACAAAAAAGACAAAAGGATATGAAGGGATGCCATTGGTGGAAGCCGGTGGTTGCAATGGACCTAGGAGGTAGGCAATAGACTAACTAACGGCAATCCACGAGAGACCTTATAGTTTGTCCTTAATTTTCTCCCTTAGTCTATGAGAACCACCCACTTCTACCAATAGGATCGCTCCATCCTCCTCATGTCTTCTTTGTCTATCACTTTGTCGATCATTTTCAACTATCAGTCTGCAGCCCTTATAATTCGTAATTTCCCTAACGAAAGAACGTAACTCCATTTCAGTGTTGACAAATTGTCCCTCGCAAATTGCGGATTATCCAGAAGAATCTTAGGCATTTCCAATGGAAAATTTCACTGATTTTTCCGCGGATTTCATGCAAAAATCAGAACCATTGTAAATGAAAATTGCACGGTTACATTTTTGTAAAATAAATGATTTATTATAGTCAATTTGGCGAACTCGGAATGGAGGTACGAGCCTTCGACCGGGAGACGACGAAATCTGGTAGTCTTGATCGTGAGTCAATTGCGGAGACAAAAAATATCAGTGAAGTGCCCCAACATTTTTTGGGATGAAGAAAAAGAACGAGGAACAGAAAGGCGCGGCGGTCGGCATGAAACGCATAGCGCCTACAAGACTGCATGAAGACTTCACGCATTGCGTCGAACACACTGCGGTCAGCAGCAGTCAGCTAGAAATGCATAGCGCCTACAAGACTGCATGAATACTTCACGCATTGCGCCAAACAGTGTGGTCAACAGCGGTCGGCGTGAAACGCATAGCGCCTACAAGACTATATAGATACTTCACGCATTGCGCCAACTCATAGTGCGGTCGGCGCAGCGGCGGAAGTAAAAATTATTAACCACATTTATGTGTGTTCTTTCATAATTTTTTCGTTCGTTCTTTATGAATGGAACACCTTGTCCAAACAGGGATGGGTTTAGGGAACTGAACTTTTGTTAGTGTTGACAGGGCTTTCACAAAAAATGTGCCCAACACGAGTAAACGCGTCTCATACACCCCTACCCCACCGGCACTTTCACTTGATGGTTTTTATAGATCGTATCCGACAGATCACACAGGTGAGATTATATTGATATCGATTGGTTCAATATGTAACCACAGCCTCAAAAGTCAATTTAGAAATCTGAGGTAACGGGTCTTATGTGATCGAATTTTTATTCTCTCGAGTACCAAATGGTAATGAAGAGTGGAATTGTTGGGAATTTTATCATTTTTAGCTTTTCCAAATTAAACCCTAAAATTTTTGTTTGAGGTTATGTTCTTTTGTTTTGAACCAAATGGTACATCGAACCACTGTCGAATCAAGGTCTATTGATATTTCAAAACGAATGAGAAGGGGGCGGAACAATGCAGGCGGTCCATCTGCGGCAAGTAGGTAAATCCGGCCGTGCCTGCCACAGTATCCTATCCCTCGGCAGCATCTAGCGCATCAGCTCTGGAGGTTGGAGGTACCTAATTATTAAATATTTTTCCTTACGAATGGCCACAGACATGCCATTAATAATTTGACCTGCATTTGATTTCAGCGCCAATGCCGGAGGACCTGAAGAAGAAGAAGGGCCTGAAACCGCGCGGCGTTTCCAACCGGGAGAAGGGTATTAACTGGGTTCGCAATCACACCACCGACGGAGTCCTCTATTTCGCCGACGACGACAACACCTACGATATCCAGATCTTCCACGAGATGCGCTTCACCAAGAAAGTCTCCATGTGGCCGGTCGGTCTCTGCACCGGTTACGGGGTCAGCTCTCCGATCGTCAAGAACGGCGTGTTCCAGGGGTTCTATGACGGTTGGGTCGCCGGCAGGAAGTTCCCCGTCGACATGGCCGGCTTCGCCGTCAACATCAAGTTCCTACTTCAGGTGAGGTCAAGAGGTTGAAGAGGAGACAATCTTGCCAGTGGCGTGGCGTGAATTCCGATATATCGATTGTCATGCCATTTAAACCTATGGTAAAGAATCGATGATTAAGGTGTTCGCTTCGAACACCCTGTTTATCGATCCTTTTCCATAGGTTTAAATGGCATGACAATCGATATATCGCAATTCACGCCACGCCACTGTATCTTGCCCTGGTAAAACGGTCCTATGGGAGCTCGTTGGATTCCAATGGAGACCAATCAAGTTTCTATGGGCGCCCAATGGGATTCACAAAATCCCAATAGGGACCAATAGATGGTTAATGGCATCCGATCGGAATATAAGGATCCATGAAATTTCAATGGGGACCCAATGGAATCCATGAAATTCCAATATGTCCCAATGGGAACCATCGCGAATGCCAGTGGGGACCCGTTGGCCCGCACGGGTTCCATTATGGGAATTTTCCCATAATATTCCCAATAGTTTCTTGAGCTGAGTATACATACAGTTACTAGCACTGAGAGTACGATTACACCAACCAAATAGTGCAGCAGCTATGCAAGACTGCACTCCGGGTTCGTTAGAATGAACTTTTTATATCGGTGCAAAAATTCCAGCCCCAAACTCAGAGATCTTTCTACACGCAATAACTCAGAAACTATTACAAAATCCTGTCGGTATAATGGATATTATTTTTTTCTGCAGAGGCCAGCAGCAAAAATGCCCTACAAACCGGGATTCGAGGAGGACGGGTTTCTCCAAAGTTTAGCACCTTTCGAACCGAAGGAAATAGAACTCAGAGCCGATAACTGTACGAAGGTAAGTAATCTTCTATCTTAATGCGAGACCATTCACGATACCGAAGCATATTTAGCACGTTGGCAATAATACTGTTGTCTCTCCATTTAAACCTATGGTAAAAAATCGATTACTGTTGGAGCACCTACCCTCCAATAATCGATTCTATACCACAGGTTTTAATTTAGAGAATATAGTGATGACCGCTCGCTGGATCCGCTGATGCCACGAAAAAGGAGCTTTAGTGGACGGAGGAGAGCCGTCTAAGAAGTCGCGAAATCGGAATTCCAGTTGTTAACAAAATTATATAAGACTCTTTTGTACCTAGAATAATGAGACATGAGCAGTTCGGCTCATTTTTTGAACGAGGAATGGCGTGGAACTACATTATAGCCCAAAAATTTTAGCTCTGCTTATAGTAGATTGAGAATGCAAACCACTTTCTTTTAAAACCACCTATTTTGAATCGCCAAACCGTCATAGTTTTGCTTCTTTGAATATTTTTTGGCGCTTTTGGTGCCGAATTTTCGCAAAACCCTCCCTCATCTCTAAGTAATGGTATCAACGTATCAGTGCTGTGGTCCTCTATTCCGCGAACTTTCACATTTGAAGAGTTAGAGTCACGTAAATGTTGATTTCGACCAATATTTTGACGAAAAAAGAAAAGAAAATTGAGGATCATCTCTTATAATTGATTCTAGAAAGTAATTATTGTGATCTTCGAGAGTCATGTGGAAAAAATAAATATAGAAAGATATTACATTTGTTTGCATTGGAACGAATAAATGTATCCACGAAAGTCTCATTTTATTTGCAATGCTGCAACAGACAATATGCGCCTTCAATTTAAAAAATATGCAATGCGGGCTTCACCTGGGTCAAAATATTTAGCGGACGTGATCGCACAAATACGTCCAATTATTTTCTAGCCTCAACTTCTAATTTGAATTTGCAATGTTCGCAGATTTACGTGTGGCACACTCAAACTAAGAAAAATTCACCGGCGGGACCGTTGGATGCAAAGTACAACAGCACGAATTTATTACATTTAAAGCGGTTCATCGTATGACACGCTGCTGTACTAAATCCAAGCTTGCCTTTATAGGTTCAATGCCCATTTCCTCATTGATTTGTATTTCTCATGGTTTCTTCCGCCCATGAAGGTGATATCCCCCCCATCCCGATAACGGCAATATTGGCAGAATTAGTCACGATACATATTGCTGTAATGTCCAATGTGCTGATGTTCATTTAATATTATGTAATTCATTTGAGCCTATTTTTTGCATGCATGAAACCTCGAAAAAACAAACAAAGAGTATTATCACAGGAAGCAGTACTATTACTTAGTTAGTACTTAGTTAGTACTGCTTAGTTTTGAAATGAGAATTATTTTCAAAATTTCTGGAAAATTCCTGAAACAACTTGCGATCCTGATATTTGCCCTGGCAGACATATTGTAGACTATGGAAACATGTACATGACAGAGCAATCTGAGTGAGTGCTTTACCCACTCGATTTTATAATTCTTTATTTTACTCACCGTATTTCGAAGAATGGTATGAGACGCCATTGAAATAACGCGTGCTGGATTTTTCCAGACTTGGTTACGTTTTGACTTCACGGTCTCCTCTAAGAAGGTATGACTTTATAGAGGCTTTTATTGAGTTAATCGGGTAGCTACATGTTTTATTCGTCATTTAATGGATATAGATATATAAACAGCATATCAGAAAATATTGTCCTCGATAAATCATTATTATACCATTGTGTTGATGAACAAATTGGAGGATATGGGGACTTACAAACCAACTGCATTGTACACCGCTGCTATGAATGCAGGAAAAAAGAGAGGTGTCCTTTTTCTCTGGGAGGAGGGCACGGAATTCGACATTACTATCAGTTCGCTTATTTGTATTTATTTATTGGAATCGGTATCCTTTTTATTTTTGATACTCAAAAGAAAAATTGGTTACAGAGCGCTTCCCCGTTCTCCCACAAATCAGGGGCGAGGCTTGGATGGTCGATTATCGATATTTCCCCATTTGAAGCTACGGTAAAAGATCGATTATTAGGGTGTTCGTCGCGAAGACCCTGTTTATCGATCCTTCTCCATAGGTTTAAATGGCAGATCGATCGATGTATCGCAAATCAGGTTCGATGATTCTAGCCCTTAAGTTCGCCTCGACTCATTTAATGTGATAATTCTATCATACAAGAACTCATGACACTATCTAGTCAGCAAGGTTTCTCGTGCGTTCAAAATGCACGGGGCCTCTGTTTAACGTTGTTTTGTTTGTTTTCTTATTTATTTTTCTTTCTATATTAGGCTATTTTTGTATTTTGTACATTTGAGATATTGTACAGATTAAAATATCGCATGTGGCTCTATTGCTGAGCGCCGCTCTTACGTTTTACGATCAGCACTTTTTTACTCTTACACATCGAACATGCTTTAAAATGTAGCCTTATTCCGAGAATAAATCCACATACCTAGTATAATAAATTACGTATCTGAAATGCATTGGTTGTGAAACACACAGTAGCGAGGCGTGAATGATCGATTATCGATATTTTCTCATTTGAAGCTATGGTAAAGAATCGATTATCGAAGTGTTCGTCGCGAACACCCTGTTTATCGATCCTTTTCCATAGGTTTAAATGGCAACCGCAAAGTACGCCACGCTACCGAAGTGTTGATGATGCTCTCTAACGCAGGCGATTATTTTCAATGTATATGTACTTTCATTGTAATATAATCTGAAAGCATCCGATCACGAAAGTTCAAAGCTTAATGAATGTTGTTTTGAACGATACTGCTGAAACAGCAGGATGAAATCAGCTCTCTACTTGTATTAGCTAAAGGCAACTTGCTGTATTACCTTCAGATTTCACGAATACAACGTCTTTTTTTAAATTTCAATGATATCTCATAGGTAGTCGTTCACTTATTTATATCACACATTTGAAAGGTGGGGAAGAAAGGGTGAGATTTCAGCATTATAATTTGAAAGGTATTGGAGAGAAAAACGCTGCCTCCTTCGAAACGCCTATTAACTACGAAAGAAAAAAAATAACAATTGTAGGGAATAAATTATGCCTAATGCCAGGTTTGATATACACCTCAAATAGTTTTTTCTAGGCTACGTTTGAGGATTATACTACTACTACATATTGTATTTTGCTAGTCAGCACTTGTCTAAATAAGTTTACATTGATTTAAAAAAAAAAGGTTTCTAAGTTACCAAGTTACCATGATACAACATGACTCATGGTTGACCTGTGAGTGACTGATGGGGGAAAAAAATCAGCATTACTGTCCCCCATCCTAAAAGACGATTTTTCTGACTCTTTTCTTTCAATTTGTACCTCACAGGTTTTTACACCCTCGCATTGCCCGGATTACGTATTTTATCCTGATAGTTTTAATTATTTATTTTTATACAGATAAGTTTATGTAACTTATCTTTAAAATCGTTCCGTAGACTGAACTTACCGAACAAAAAAAACACACACCCACTTCCTTCCTCACCCTCTTACACACGGAAAATATCTTTGGAAGAAAATTGGCGAAGGTATGCATTTCTAAAACTGAACACTGAAATAACTCACGCATCACGGAGCCATTCGAAGAGGAATAAAATGTAAGGATATAGTTCATTGGACGTATTTCTGCCAGATGGAACTATGCACTGGAAAAAAAAGTTGCTTGGATCTAGAGTCCCGACTCTTGAAAACGATGACAAGAAAAAATACTCCTGATTCAATCGGATTTTTGCTTAAATCAAGAACCAATCCTTTTAGCTTAAGCGGATTTCCTTTTGATCCAAGTAAAAATCCGATTGAATCAAGAGTATTTTTTCTTGTCACTGTTTTCAAGAGTCTGGACTCTAGATCCAAGCGACTTTTTTTTCCAGTGTGTGCATTGTGACGTGAGCCCTGTTATGCATATATTTCTATAGGTCTCAGGGCTCTTGTCTTAATGCTAATAGTTCCGTTTGGCAGAAATACGTCAAATTATCCTCTCATAAACCAATGCGTCGATCCTTTCACGTAAGAGCGTATCTCGCATGAGCCCCAGAAAGCATGGATTCATATGTGGAACTGGGCTCACCTGGAAATTAAGATACGCCCTTACGTCAGAGGAACAACGAATTATAATTGGACCACATCTTGCAATTAAGAACTACAAACTCTGGCTTATTTTAGAAACATTATGCGTGCTAGTAGTTTCCCATTTGCAGATATGTGCTTCTAAAGATGAGTCAAATTTTGTTGTTCCTCACTGCGAAATGCAGTCCAATGGGCCTGTTGCAAACTTTTGCTAGAGCAAAAATAAGAGTTGTTTCTTATTGATAATGCCTCAAAAATCACGATGAGCGCATCGGCAAAGTCTGAAATGCACTCATAACTTCACAATCTGCGTAAGAAATTTGCGGTTTTTTAAGCTTCCCGCTTCAAAAACGATACTACGGCATAGGTGAACATTTTGTTAGAGGAGTCGCTCCATCGTCGGCGATATTCATCATGGCCGACGCTTGCACGCAGTTCCGCGCGTAATTCAAGGAGAGTTCAAGGTCAATCAATTCGGGCGTGGAAAATATGAACGTTAACACACCGATTGTTATCTGGTCTAATCCAGTTCAGGTGTTATCTCGTCCTATCAAACGTGTTTTGGCGGATTGGCGTCGGCGGCTATGATGATTATTGCCGACAATGGAACGACTCCTCTTACAAAATGTTCACCTGTGCCGTAGTATCGTTTTTGAAGCGGGAAGCTCAAAAAACCGCAAATTTCTTACGCAGTTTGTGAAGTTATGAGTGCATTTCAGAGTTTGCCGATGCGCTTATCGTGATTTTTGAGGCATTATCTATAAGAAACAACTCTTAGTTTTGCTCTAGCAAAAGTTTGCAACAGGCCCATTGTTGTTCCCCCTTTCTTCCATTTTAGAGCCGATATACCTGTGTATGGACTGCTATTTATTGTGGTCACTTTTAATTTACAAATATTTCCTGCGAGATACGTTCATATTCTTTGTGTCATTTAATTACGATAATTACCTACAGCTACTAAAATTATTGAAAAAATCAAATTGTTGTTACTCCTCACGAATGAGGTATTATAGCATAGTCAAAGTTTGAAAATTGAAGGTGTCGCTGATTACTTATGTGATGTATTTATTGTTATTTATATCAGTTCATAAAGTAGATTATCCTATAGGTATTTCCTCATCAGAAAAACACCATGCGTGTGCACACCAAGTTGCCTGGTTTTTACTTAATTTTAAGATTTTCATTTGTATTAACTTTCTATTCTTCTCTCATTTGATTAAAAGAATAACTTCCATAATGACTGCTGTTGTTCCTTTTATTGATGAATTATTTTTCTATCTGATGACTTTTCTTACCTTACTATGTAACACTGGAAAAAAACACATTGGATCTAGAGTCCAGACTCATAAAAACATCGACAAGAAAAATTTCTCTTGATTCAATCAGATTTAAGCTTGAACCAAGAACCAAGCCTCTTAATTTGAGCGGATTTCCTTTTGATTTAAGCTTAAATCTGATTGAATTAAGAGTATTTTTTCTTGTCAATGTTTTCAAGAGCCTGGACTCTAGATCCAATGTGTATTTTTTCCCAGTGTGTGCATGAGACTTGTTCACTCGTTTTGGGCACATTTTTTTGTGAAAGCCGTATCAACACTAGCAAAATTTCACGGAACTATGAGCGAAAGTTAAGTTCCGTAAACTTCTCTCTAAATGGACAAGGCCTTCCATTTGTAAGAAATGAACGAAAAAATTATGAAAGAACAAACATAAATGTGCGGTTTATAATTTTAACTTCTGCCGCGCCGCGTTGACCGCACTATGTTTGACGCAATGCTTGAAGTATTCATGCAGTCTTGTAGGCGCTATGCGTTTCACGCAGACCGCTGCTGCTGACCACACCGTGTTTGACGCAATGCTTGAAGTATTCATGCAGTCTTGTTGGCGCTATGCGTTTCACACTGGCCGCACTGTGTTCGACGCAATGCGTGAAGTATTCATGCAGTCTTGTAGGCGCTAATATGTGTTACATGCCGACCGCCGCGCAGAGGGCTTCTCTCCTTTTCATCTCAAGTCCTCGTCATCATTGCTCTCTGCACCGCGCCGCTCCAGGCCAAATTGAGTGTTTGGTTTCTCTCTTAATTAGACTAATTAAAGGTGCTGTCTCTTGCATCACCGAAAAATGACAAAATTAGATATTACAATACTCTCAGGAGATAAGAGATTTTGCCGCCTTTTCTCGTTTTCCGAATCCGATTTTGTTTTGAACCTATATTTTAGAGTCGGAACTGTAGATCCAATGTGTTTTTTTTTTCTTTTTTTTTTTTTTTCGAGTGAAGTATTTATTTTTATCGTATCATCACTATGAAATAGGTTGAGGGAATATATTTTGAAGCAGAGGGAGGATAGTATGGATGAATGTCAAACAATATAGAGCCTGGATGATATAGTAATACATGAATAAAGTCAGATGCGCTGATCATTGGCCAACCTGGGCGGTCGCGACATGTATTATTGCAAGAACCCTTCAAAATTAAGTCCGCACGTACTGGACACATAATGACGAGAACATTTGGCCCAGGAATTGGGCAGATTGTACTGAGCGCACCACGGAGGTTGTACATGAGGATTCGACCTTAAGAGGAATACATAAAATAATGTTAGTGTTTACCTACTGGAGTATCTACCCTGACGACATAGGGAAAGAATTGCTATCTCGAGCCCGGTTCAATACCAAGGCCCGATTTAGAGCAAGTGCAATAACTGCACCTGGGCAACAAATTTTAGAGATTGGCATATTATCAATTTTTTTTGCTTTGGTTATTAATAATTCATTAAAATTACGAGTGTGATATCTTCACCAAAGAAGACGAAAACTTGACTTTTACAACTTAACATGCATTTAATGTTAGAAGTTACCTTTGAGACCCTTTAATTACTGATATTTTCCATTTTGTCTGTCTTACAGTAGTTCGCACCTATTCTAGTATCCGTTTTTTTTTGCGGGGGGAATGTTTCAGGCGATAGCGGGAGATGGGGGGCGCAAAAAACAAAAATCGGGCTCCGTCAATCACCATTTGTTCTTGATTCATCTTTTAGTTAAAATCTGACAAGAAGTACTCTGAGTACCTATCAAATTTTAACTCGAGGTTGAGACTATTCAGAGAGAATTCAACTATGGAAAAACTGAGCGACTCGCTGATAGCTGATCGGTTGCGTCATTATTTCTGTTTATTGAGCCCTTCCTCTCCTTATTTTAGACCGAGGTGCACAAACAAGATGACGACAGATGTCTACACGTAAAGATCTTCTAATTTTCAATCCTGGAATAAACTCTGACAAAATTTCGGTGGATATTTTTGCCAAGAATTTTTCTGTGAGTACCTATCATTAATTTCTCCATCGATAGGACAAATTCCTTTTAATCGAGTTGTTTGCATTGACTCTACAAAGTCAGTTGATAACCAAAAACTGAAGAACCAATGAGAAAGAAAATAAGGAGACGTGACAATAATACTTACTGTGTACTAATGTGGGCACTTTGAACTCAGGAATATCTAGTTGTCAGTACTAGACCTCAGGGAGCGTTAGACCGAACTAGATTAAAACTGCCAGACGTGCACAATAGCACAAGGTACAGACTGGTGGATTTCCATGAATGTTTTAATTAATAGTCACATATCTCGTAATTCCTAATACAGTTCTTTCTCCATGAGCTCTAACGCCTAGAATGAAAAATTCAGCGAGATAGAGATATTGACGTCGTGTGCTATAAGAACGTATTTCGAAGTCGCTATCGACTTTTTAAGGGTAAATTCTCCCTCTCTCGGTCATAAACCCGAAAAATGTAAATTTTATCGGCAAATAGGAAGCTGTTGTATTATTTAAGCTAACAGTTTTGATTGCGTTTTGAGGCAGTTAGAGCGCACGCGATAGGAGGGGGGTCAGTTGAAAATGAAAGGATTTTGCCGCGGGATATGAATATTAATGAGATAAAACTGTTTGAATACGGAAAAAGTCTATGGCCTTTAGCTCGATTTCGTGAGTTATGTGCTCCACTCGATATTGTGAAAGCCACCTTTCAAAAGTCCTTTAATGGTAGCAGTGAACTTCCAAAAGTACCCTTTTCAAAAACTGGCGAGGCCGCAAATTTTCATTCACATTTCTCATAAAAAATTCAAAATTAAATTGTCAACATACAATTCAACGGAGTTACTTAAGAGACCAAAGAAAAGTCAAATTCAGTAGTGTGGCCACAAGGAGAGGTAAAGGAGTTCTGTGTCAATTTTTCCCAATGAATGTAATTAATTCCATGGTTTTTATGAGTATTATACCTTTTTGCCCCCTTCCCACCATGTGAAATTTTCAACCGGAAAATACCTCTCTCCTCGCCATGAAATATTTCTAGCCACGGTACTGATCAAACCAATGATGAGCGATAATGACTCTCTGAGTTTTGTCCGCACTTAGATGCACGTAAAATAATTGACATATCGACCCTTAGAGTAAAAAAAATGCGTTTTTGATCCAACGTTTCAAAATCCTCGATTGAGTTTCATTTCAATTTATTTTTTTTTTTCTTTGAGGATTAAATCGGTAAATCAGGGGTGAGACCAAGATAAAAAAAAATACTCCTTAAGGTGTTTCGACGGTTGCCATTTTGTGTGTCAGAGCGACGTGCGATATATCGCACCAATTTGTTCCATAATTTCAGCTACTTGTCATTTTTTTCGAATTTTGAGATCGCACTTCTGTTGTCATGAGACTAAAGGATTCATGTACCTTTGACAAAGAAATTTAACGTAATGAAGGCGCGGTCGTTTTAAAGGAAAAATATCGCATTCGATACTGATATCGAAACTGCACTCGAATGCGATATTTTTCCTCTGAAAAAACCCTGCCTTTAATGCGTTGAATTTCTTTGTCAAAGTTACATTAATTATTTTGTCAAATTTGTTACATGAATTCTTTTGTCAAATTTGTTACATGAATTCTTTTGTCCCATAAAAATAGAAGTGCGATCTCAAAATTCGAAAAAAATGACAAGTAGCTGAAATTATGGAACGAATTGATGCTATATATCGCACGTCGCCCTGACACAAAAAATGACAAGTATACTGATATCGAAACTGCACTCGAATGCGATATTTTTCCTCTAAAAAAAACCCCTGCCTTTAATACGTTGAATTTCTTTGTCAAATTCGGTACATGAATTTTTCAGTCGCATGACAACAGAAGTGCGATCTCAAAATTCGAAAAAAAATGACAAGTAGCTGAAATTATGGAACGAATTGATGCGATATATCACGCACGTCGCGTCGCTGGCAAAAAATGACAACCGTCGAATCACCTGAAACACTTTCTAATGTGATATTGTGATAGCAAGTCGCATCGACCTTGCTGAAATGGGAGACAAGCTCCTTGCAATGCGCTGGACTATTGACCACGAACTGTCTTCACCTGTTATCATGATTTCGGGAGCAGCAGCGACCCAACCTCGCACTTTCGACTCCGGTTCCTCGCGATCATATTCCTGATTATTCCACTGATCTCGATCTAACACCTTAAAATCAGACGAAGCGGACCTTCCTAGTATCTGATTGGGTACTCGATGATAACAGTAAACGTATAAATACCGGCGACGGATCTACCGCTCTTCAGATCCCAATTGTCTAGATTCAAGATGGCTCGCACAGCTCAAGATCGGGAGAAAAGTCCTAAAAAGAAAGCCAAGAAACGAATTCTCGAAAGTCCTAAAAAGAAAGCCAAGAAACGAGATTACGGATCTTACGCGTCGTTCGTCTACAAGGTCCTGAAGCAAGTCCACCCAGCAGTCGGCATTTCAAAACGGGCGATGGTCATCATGGATTCTTTCGTGGCTGACATTTTCGAGCGACTGGCTACCGAGGCGGGAAAACTGTGCAAGAAAAGCAACACTCGGACGATTTCCTCGCGGGAAATCCAGACTGCCACCCGGCTCGTCATACCGGGGGAGTTGTGCAAGCACGCAGTCTCCGAAGGCACCAAGGCCGTCACCAAGTACGTATCTAGCAAGGGAACAGCCTAGAACGGATATCTACCCGACCTCTCGAGGTCATTTTTTGAAAGGCTCTCCGAGTGCAGAGCTACCCCTGAAAACGGCCCTTTTTAGGGCCAACAAATTGCGAGCAAACTGTGATTCACTGAAAAATGAGGTTGGATATTCTTGATCCGAGATCAAATTGAAGAGAACTAAAGTAAGAAGTTCAGTTGATTTGTCTTTTCTATTTTTTTTTTTTTTTTTTTTTTTTTTTTTTTTATTTCTTTTTTTTATGAAGTATTAGACATTGATCTATAAAACAATATAATGTTCGGACCTGAGAGGAAGGTCTTTTTACATTTTCACTTAAGTAGTAAGTATGCAGTTTTTACAGACCTTTTTCTAAGTAGGTCACCGAAATAAGCAATAATGAAATTTAAAAAAATAAAATAAATTAGATAAATTAAATAAACAAACAAACGAGATAAATAAAATTGACTAGTTTAGGTTATTTACAATAAAAGACTATAATTGAATTAAAGAGAGAATTGGTCTAACTAGATTGGGCATCACCAAATATCATATCATCTGAATTTTTATTTTTTCTCATGGACAGATTATTATTGCAGGACAAATTAAAATAAGTTTCGAAGAAGTTTATTGCGCAATTTTCTTGTGAAAAAAAGAAACTAAGGGTTCCAAATCAGAAAATGTGGAATTGTAGTTAGGTCTATTTGGGTTGAATTCGTCTGAATAAGCGTTGCAAGCACGCTGAACAAAAAAGTCTCCATTAATGCCGGCTTTTTTACGTTGCACCCTGCGTAAGGAGAAATTTTAACTTGCACTCATCGTCTGAGAAAGTACAAAGGTCATCTGTGAAGTTGTGCATCAACCCAAAATGATCGCGTCAAAACCATTGGCTATGAGAAATCGACACGGGATTATCCTTTCCATCCAAAATTAATCATGAAACGCGAAGAGGTCAAATACGGCAAATTGCACACCGTTATATACGCGTATAATTTTTTAGGGGGTTGCAGAGGTGAGTCATGATGGTTGCGTCACAGAAGGGAGGTAAATGGTAAAAAATATCTGATTTTCAGCTCCCTTCCTGATTTTTCAGGTTTCTTTCTGCTGAACGCGATCCATTTCTAACAATGTACAGGAGATTCTCACAATCAGCGCCACAAACTTGGATACTATTCTCGAGGTTTCATCATAAAATACGGGATCCGTTGGTTTTCTGATCATAACTTGAGGGAGTATTTGTCGATGTGAGCGTAGGCGGCGTAGTTGGAGATGGCGCAGCGATTAGCGCCCCTTTTCAAGTACATGTAGCCCTTCTCTCCCCACTCGTCACTCCACCAGTTTCGGAGGATCCAGGAATCCTTCGTGTAGCCGACCAGGAGCATCGCGTGGTTCACAAAGTCCGATGAGCACTCTGGATCGTCGTATACTCCCGAGCTGAAATTTTAAACGAAGTAGTTCAGTTTTATTTAATTTTTTTTTTATTTTTTATTTTTTCAAGGGGTTGGAAAGATGGGATTGATTCAGAAATGCGCAACAGTACTAAATTCTCAAAAGCGTTATGGTTCGATACTGCCGTGCTAAGGAAAAACGCCGTATGAACATTCGAGAGTTGCCAAATTTTCCTTGATAAAACATGTATTTTTGACGACCTTCATGTACATTTTTCTTTGAAATCAGTTACTTTAGATTAAATTGCGTACGAAATTGTCTGAAAATTTTCCCTGCAAATTCGGTATTTATCGAAGGAAATTTGGCGACGTCTGATGGCTCATACGGCGCTCTTCTGTAGCATGGCAGGATAGGGGTCAATGCTGCTTTGCTATGGAAGAACGCCGTACGAGCATTAAGGCGTTGCCATATTTCCCACAATAAACAAACGAATCTACTGCAGAAACGCTTTTTTCCTCCAATTTGTCGGACAATTTTATTTGCAATTTCATCTAATACATCAAAAAATTTCAAGAGAAAATGTGCATAACTTTCTTCAAAAATATATGTTTCATTTGAGGAAATTCGGAAACTCTCGAATGTTCTTACGGCGTTCTTCCTTAGCAAGGTGGAAATGCGGTTATGCGCAGACAGGGTAAAGAATGAAACTGATAGTGACACGTCACTTTTAGTTTCATTCCTTATTTCTTTCATCCTTGAACTTTTTTCTGAACTCTCATGGTCAAGTATTTACTGATTTTTCCTGATATTTCCTAACTTTGCAAGACCTCGTCACCCCAATGTGGCATTTCATGACAAAAAAAATCGTGACTTTTCTATCGAAATAATTCATGAAATTTCAGGAGTACATGAAAAGATAATGAAAAACATCTCATATCGTGGATTATCAGCTCACGCTAAATAATAATAAAACGCTGCCGAAATTTTTGAAAGCCATCACCTCACTCGTTTTTATCATCCATTTTTCCAACACGAGGGAAAGAAATAAAAATGTTTCCGGATGAAAAAAGTAACGAATTTCTGTTGTGTTTGGCGTTCTTTCAGTGCAAGTTGCTTATCCCGCCATTTTTTTTAAAAAATAAAATTCACATCTTCGTGAAACCTCATGAGATATTTTACCGGAGAATCCAATCATTCATAACTTTCTTTCGTTGGAAATGATTTTGAGAGATACTTACTGGTAGAGTTGAAAAGTCGCCGGACTAGCGTTGAGGGACACAGCTATGGGACCGACTTTCCACACAGCCACTTTAAGAGCATGTTCGTCTCGCGGAGGGAGGACAGCCCATGAAATGACCCGAACAACAGCTTTGTCTTTCTTGAACTGGCACGTGTCTTGCTGCAAAATTATAAAAATCTGTCAGAATCATCTGAATTGTGGTTGAGCTTCGACTATCAGAGCCCGACAGCAACCCTGCTGCACTACCGTGCTCTAGAAATAAAAGTCTCCTGAATCCAGAGTCATTTAAGACTCTTAAAGAATTCGAGAAGAAAAAATTCTCTTGATTTAATCGAATTTTTATTTGAATCAGAGAGGAAACCGCGTAAATTAAGAGGCTGGGCTCTCGACCAAAGCAAATATCTACTCGAATCAAGAGCACGATTACCTTCATACCTTGTCGAATTTTCTAAGAGTTTGGACTCTGAATCCAAGACACTTTTTTTCAGTGTGCTGCATAAAACACCCATTTAATACCCGAATTTTGCCAAATCCCCCCCCCCCCCCCNAATAAATATTTCCGACAAAAATTGTACATTTTGCTTGAAATTAACACACACTGGAAATTGAGGTGAGGATTAAATGTTCCGAAAAATTCCAAGAAAATTGCACGTTGCCAAAAAAATTCGTCTATCATCGAAAAACTTTTGGCATGTCTTTGCTGGGCAGAAGCAGGTAAGTTCATTATTGAATTAATTGAACAGATTTAATTTATTTCTATTTTTGCCATTCGGTTCATTTTCATTATCTACAGTTTGGTCCCTTGTATTACCGCATACTATGCTCAACCTGTGCTTTCCGCAAGTTTTCGAATCCCTTGCATCATAGCATACTAACTCATAAGCTTTAATGCAAGACTCCCGATTTCAATCCGACCGCTTTATCGCCCTTGCTTGCCTAATACTTACACACAGAAGAGTGAGTATGCTGCTATACTTGTGAGGATATTCGTGGAATCAAGAGAGAATGAGTTACGAACAGCTGCCCAGTGGCCCAGTTCGGCGCGCGACGGCCGCGATGCTCCGTGCCCAGGCGACCGCTTTATTGCTCCTAATACCCTAATACTCACACACAGAAGATGGAGTATTTCGCTATACTTGTGAGGACTTCAAGAAGACTTCAAGAGGAGAGACGAGAGAGTGTCTGTTCCGTGCCGAGGCGACCGCTTTATTGTTCCTGGTACCCTATTACCCTAGTAGCAGAGCTAAATTCACAGTATAACCGTTATATAAAGAGCGTATAAAGAATGTATAATCAAAGTATAACGGTTATATAAAATATATATGAAGAGCGTATTTTAAAAGATGTACAACTGAAGTATAACGGTTATATAAAACATTTTTAGAAGCAACTTTTCTATAAACTAATTATAGAGGTTATTCGCGCAATTTATAAAATTATTTGATTAATAACGGTTATGCGACGGCGGTTTCTTTTGAACATTCCGTTACTTAACCGTTATATAACCGTTATATGAGTGGTATACTTTCGTTGAATTTTTTTGTTTAAATCTGCTACTAGGAGTACTAGGGATACTTACACACAAAATATGGAGTATTTCGCTATACTTTTGAGGACATCCAAGGGAGAGTGCATGTTGTTGTGTTCAAAATGGCCTGAAAGAGTCGCAAGCTGCGATCCCCCCCCCCCCCCCCNTTCAAATTACACTCCTCTCCGTTCTTTTAAGTCAATATTTTTTCGAACAACGTTTCGATGGCTATCTTTAAGTCATCATCAGCGTATCTTCATTGCACCTTGTAAAAAACTGAATATTCCTCATTTCTGCAAGAGAAAAACTATAACAAAACTGTCTGTTTGAAATTTCATAAGCATATTTTGGATTCGCGGGGAAAATACATAGAGAATCTCAAGAAAGGCTTTTGCTTATTTGTCTTAAAAAAGTATTAATTGGCATTAATGGCAATTTGATCATGAGTTTCTTTGCGGCTTCTCTTTCAAATGATTCTTATTTTATTTCTTCTCTTTTTCTTGTCTTTTTGTCTTTTTCTAATCTAAAATAGGCCAACAGTTTTGAGAAACATTACTTTCATCAAACATATATTGGTTTGTTTTCAATCCCTTTCGCTTATTTTTGTTCCATCTTACCTTGGCTTTGTATGGGTAGTCTTTGTATGTCTCGAGTCCACCGGTGCCCTGAATATATTTCAAGGTGTTTCTCAAGGAGCCTCCTCCACATCCTAAATTGCCCACATTCCCCGAGCAGTCAACGATTTGTTGAACACTAAAATCAATCAAATTGAACCATCAGTGAATCAGTTGTTAACACCCTCTTAAACTTTATTAAATAATGACAAAAAAAAAAAAAAAGTTGTCTCATCAAAGGCTATCTTTGGTCCCAGCTTCAGTCGAAAGTTGAACTGTCTTACCTACTTCTAGAATATTGTCATGTATGCCCATTTCAACTCTTGATAATCTACCCTGTGAGAAAATGTCTTTGCTCGTGCACGGTTCGTTTGAGTAAAAGTTATATGAAATTGTCTATCACTCAAAAAGTCTTTTCGGATTCGAAAAGTAGAGTGAAAATGGAGTCTTTCTAGCTAAAAATGAAAATAGGTTGTTCGAGCTCCTGGAGAAATATATCGTTTTTTGTATTTTTTAGGGCTTATTAGAGGGTGATACGAAAATTGAATCAAATTTCGTGAATGTTTCTGTTTTAATTTCTAAACTAAGATAGCTATCAAAATGATCTTGGTTTCATTTTAAAGCTGGTGTAATTTGCCGTCGATTGAATGGTCTGAAAGCTAATTTTGTCAAAAATTGACAAAGTTATGATAGCTTGAATAAAGGGTATCCAAAATAAGCTTACTTGTTTTCCTTACCGAGTAAGGCTCTATTTTTTCTTTTTTTCCCTTCAAGACCAAAAACACTAGAGTCAATCTGTAAAAATTACAGCATTTGTAGTACTCTCAGGTCTGTAACGAGCGTCAGATTTTTAAATTTGACCCATTGGTTCCGGAGAAAATCAATTTTTGGTTTCGGTTCCGTTCTACTTACAATCAGCTATTGACATACGGCACAAGACGCGCCACTGACGAGGAGACCAAGTACAGAAAATCGATTTTATCCACTTTAACAATCGATCAAATTTAACATGTAAGGCTCGTTAGAAAGTTCAAAATATGATAAAGAACATTTTACTCTTTGCGTGTTTTCCCTTAGCCCCCATTTTTTGGAGTTATGGGTCATTTTCGGGGCAATTTTCAATTCGATGCTGTAAGTGGCCAAAATATTCACATTTCAAAATTTAAAAGTCTCCTGAGAGGAGAGGCCAATACCTTTTGATTGATGTGCCATATGACCCCTGCTGCTCCAAAATTTTGGGGGCCACGACCTCTCAAAATTTTTGGGGCTTTGGAGGGCCATAAGTCACAAAAATTTCAAATAGCAAGGGTATGTTTCGACTTCAGATATGGATTCTACGCAAAAAATTACGTAGAATTGATATGGCGCACGGCCTGTTTGCTCCAAGTTACTAAAGAACTCCATTTCTTCATAAAAGGCAGAGTATTTTTGGAGAAAATAAGGGGCACAAAAAATCTGAATCAAACAGGCTGTGCGCCATATCATCATGGCAAGGGTATGTTTTGACTTCAGATATGGATTTTACGCCAAAAGTAACGTAGAATTGATATGGCGCACGGCCTGTTTGGTTCAGATTTTTTGTGCCCCTTATTTTCTCCACAAATACTCTGCCTTTTATGAAGAAATGGAGTTCTTTAGTAACTTGGAGCAAACAGGCCGTGCGCCATATCAATTCTACGTAATTTTTTGCGTAGAATCCATATCTGAAGTCGAAACATACCCTTGCTATTTGAAATTTTTGTGACTTATGGCCCTCCAAAGCCCCAAAAATTTTGAGAGGTCGTGGCCCCCAAAATTTTGGAGCAGCAGGGGTCATATGGCACATCAATCAAAAGGTATTGGCCTCTCCTCTCAGGAGACTTTTAAATTTTGAAATGTGAATATTTTGGCCACTTACAGCATCGAATTGAAAATTGCCCCGAAAATGACCCATAACTCCAAAAAATGGGGGCTAAGGGAAAACACGCAAAGAGTAAAATGTTCTTTATCATATTTTGAACTTTCTAACGAGCCTTACATGTTAAATTTGATCGATTGTTAAAGTGGATAAAATCGATTTTCTGTACTTGGTCTCCTCGTCAGTGGCGCGTCTTGTGCCGTATGTCAATAGCTGATTGTAAGTAGAACGGAACCGAAACCAAAAATTGATTTTCTCCGGAACCAATGGGTCAAATTTAAAAATCTGACGCTCGTTACAGACCTGAGAGTACTACAAATGCTGTAATTTTTACAGATTGACTCTAGTGTTTTTGGTCTTGAAGGGAAAAAAAGAAAAAATAGAGCCTTACTCGGTAAGGAAAACAAGTAAGCTTATTTTGGATACCCTTTATTCAAGCTATCATAACTTTGTCAATTTTTGACAAAATTAGCTTTCAGACCATTCAATCGACGGCAAATTACACCAGCTTTAAAATGAAACCAAGATCATTTTGATAGCTATCTTAGTTTAGAAATTAAAACAGAAACATTCACGAAATTTGATTCAATTTTCGTATCACCCTCTAATAAGCCCTAAAAAATACAAAAAACGATATATTTCTCCAGGAGCTCGAACAACCTATTTTCATTTTTAGCTAGAAAGACTCCATTTTCACTCTACTTTTCGAATCCGAAAAGACTTTTTGAGTGATAGACAATTTCATATAACTTTTACTCAAACGAACCGTGCGTGGTAAGTATTTTTGGAGGGTTTTACCTAACTGACCGGCGCAAAATGGGGAAGTTCTACCTCTCTCTCGAAAAAAAAATTTTCCGGTCATAAAACAGCCAATTCATATGTGAGCGCAAGCGACTAGGTACCACTTTTTCCTTTAAATATCCTCTAATACATATTTAGATATCTCACGATGATTATATCTCGCACTGAATATACTACAGAGTAACATACTGAAATATGAAAGTGGCAGTCCTTTGTGCTGACACTTAAAAGTGAACTTTCATCAGTTCACAATCATGCAGACGACAGTTGCCTCTTGCTAGCAATTTTGGGGATCTTATCTACACATCATGAATATCATTGGTATATCATATGCAGGGCACGATATTTCTCAATTGAGGGGTTTGGAGGACAAGGCGCATAAGTGCAGTTTTTGCTACTTCCAGAGATGCCTGTTAGAAGTTTCGAAATTACATGGATCCTTATGATGGAATGAAAGTTCAAACTCACTTTTTGAGGCTTAAAAATTGGAATATGGAAGCGAAATTTTCACAGAATATGCATTAAGACTAGTTTTACTTGAAATCATCAACATCTCAATTTTTTTCAAAAACTGCGCTTATGAGTCTTGCCCTCCAAGCCCCTCCATTTTAATACAACTTCAAGCCTTTTATTGGTGGAAATATGAATTAAGTATGGCTTGTAACTTTTTCGTCGGAAATTTTACAATGTATTTGTTGGAGATCTTAATTTTTGATTTCTCCATCCAACTCGGCGTGAACCACTACACTAACAATTAACAATTTTTTTTAAACAATTTTGTCCCTTTCCTTCTGACCGGTCACGTTGCTCATGGTGACCGGCTGTTCGCACGTGGGGGAAGCTCAATTTCAGAAAAATACTGGGTCCAATTGTTGGAATTTTTACCAAAAAGAATAAATAAATGGTTGGAAAAATTGAATAATACCTCAAATAACGGAGGACCCCGGCTTCCTTGAAGATTTGCCCGGAAACAGTGGAGGATACTGCGAACGCATAACATGCACCACAGTCTTCCTGGTTCCAGGCAGGCGTCTCGAAGCCCTTCTCTCGCCAATCGAACTGGAAAAAATCGTCAAATATAATAGATCGTATTCGATAGTGGTTTGATGTATCGTTTGGGTAAAAAGTATAGAACAGGATTTAATTTGGAAAGGCTGAAAATGAGAAAATTCCTAAAAATTTCACTTTTCATTGCCATTTGATACTCGAAAGAATAAAAATTCGATCACAAAAGACCCATTACTTTAGATCTCTGAATTGACTTTTGAGGACATGTTTACATAATGAACCAATCGATATTGATACAATCTCACCTGTTGATGTATAAAATACGATCTATTGGTTATGAATATTTTGGATTCCATGATTAATCGAATACAGGGGACGAGGAGTGTTCCTAAAAGACCTCTCGGTAGGAGTGGCGTGGTGTGCTTTGCGATGTATCGATTGATCTGCCGTTTAAACTTATGGAAAAGATCGATGGACAGGGTGTTCGCAAAAAACACTTTAATAATCGATTCTTTACAATAGCCTCAAATAAGGAATATCGATTATCTATTTTTGACGCCTCGCCACTGCTCGGTTGGTAGGTATGTACCTTTCCCAATTACCACTTTTCATCAGTGGCGTGGCGTGAATTGCGATATATCGATTGTTATGTCATTTAAACCTATGGTAAAGAATCGATTATTAAGGTGTTCGCTGCGAACACCCTGTTTATCGATCCTTTTCCATAGGTTTAAATGGCAGATCATTCGATATATCGCAAAGCACGCCACGCCACTGCTTTTCATGTGTGTTAAAATGAAAAGCATATCGACGGTGTAAGTCGGCAATCATATAACTCGTTTGCGGTGTCTGAAAATCTCCGCCTCTTTGTTATTTTTTTAAAGGAGAACAAATTGACATCAATCCTTGAAGTTTTTGCAGAATTATCTTCGCACAGAGAAGAAAAATCACGGCAGTTTTAAAGAATTGTCGTTGAGTAGTTTTCCGTTTAAAAAAGTCTGCGACGTCGCAAACCGAGTTATATGATTGCCGACTTACACCGTCGATATCGTGACTCCAGTTGCCTGCAATTTACATTGTTTAATTTGAGGATACTGAAATTGCAATCACCACCATTTGGAGAGTTTTAAAGATAAGTATACTTGTTTCCCCAGTTTGTCTATATCGAAAGAAAAAGAGCCGAGTAGTGCCGTGCTAAGGAAGAACGCCGTATGAACATTCGAGAGTTGCCAAATTTCTTTCGATGAAATGTTTATTTTTGAGGAAAATTACGAATATTTTTCCTTGAAATTTTCAGAAGTTTTAGATCAAATTAGAAACAAAATCGTCTGAGAAATTGGTAGACCAATATTCAAAACATTTCCTGAAAATTAGTGATTTGCCCGGACAAATTTGGCAACGCCTGAAGGCTCATACGGCGTTTTTCCTTAGCACGGCAGGGTAGTGCGTACCTCCTCCGGTATCTTTTCTGGATCGTGGACAGGAGTACCTAACGTTTCTTCCGGGAGTCTTCGGCGACGTCCACTGTGCCTCAGCTTGATCATTTTTGCTGCATACGTGTTCGGGTCCTGAAAATAATGTCAAAATAAGCATTTAAAAAATCCCTGAAGGATGTTGTTATGGTCTATAGAATAAAGGAAAAAACGTTCCAGTTGTGTATAATACAAAGTTTATGGCTCGAGTGACCCATCCGGTATGCTGTTCAAATGTCGAAGGGATTTGTATCTTTGAACAAAAGTCCTTTTGGGATTTTTAGGATTTTTGCGAACAGGGCCGGATTAAGGGGGTGGCCACATGGGCCGCGACCCATGGCGGCAAATCTAAGGGGCGGCAAATTTTGCAAGTTTTCTAAATGTAGATATAAAAAAAATCGGATTTAGAAAAAAAATTACAAACGAGAAAAGCTACAAAATCTCTCATTTCCTGAGAGTATAGTTATTTCTAATTTCGTCGTCTTTCAGTGATACAAGAGACACAGCATCTTTACTTAGTCGAGTTAAGAGAGAAACCAAACACACAATTTGGCCTGGAACGGCGCGACTTAGGGAAAAATGATGACGAGGACTTGAAATGAAAAGGAGAAGCCCTGGGCGCGGCAATCGGCATGTAACACATATTTAGCGCCTACAAGACTGCACGAATACTTCGCGCATTGCATCAAACACAGTGCGGTCAGCGTGAAACGCATAGCGCCTACAAGACTGCGTGAATACTTCACGCATTGCGCCCAACACGGTGCGGTCGGCGCGGCGCGGCGGCGGATATTAAAATCATTGAACCAAATTTTGTGTTTGTTCTTTCATAATTTCCTCGTTCATTTCTTATGAATGGAAGGCCTTGTCCATTAGAGATAGGTTTACGAAACTTGACTTTCGCGCAAAGTTCCGTGATCTTTTGCTAGTAGTGTTGACAGCGCTTTCCCAAAAAATCTGTTCAACACGAGTAAACGCATCTTATGCACCCCTCCCCCTCTGGCACGTTCACTTGATGGTTTTTATTGATGTTTCAAAACGAATGAGACGGGGGCGGCAAAGTACAGGCGGCCCATGGGCGGCAAGTAGGAAAATCCGGCCCTGTTTGCAAGCTCTAAAAATGGGAGGCTGAGCCATACATGTACACAAATTATCAGCTATAGTTTAATCAGGTTTTGATTTTTGAAAATGGACGTGTCGCGGGCCCGCAAGCGTCCTGCAACTTATTAGCTTTTTCTTTTCACTTCATTTTCCTTCCCACTCGTCAGCAAGTTCAGCATAATTTAAACGAGAAAAGCAGCATTTATCCAAATGGTATCGATTTACCGCTTTACTTGCAATCCAAAGCTCAACGACTTGTTCCTTCAATTAAAATGTGCTCCAGAGGACTAGTAAGCACATACATTACCGGCGCACAGTGGATCGAGTCAATAGGAGAGATCGGACAAAATTTGGAAACTTTAAACGCTTACAACTCCGTTTATATAAAACTTTGAAGTTTTAAAGGGGTTCCATTGGTTTCCTCGTCAAATTTCCTTCTAGAGACACCCGTTGAAATTTCAAATGTAACGCGATAAAGATCAAAATTTACAGTTTTAGTCAAAAATTTCATGACCGACCCCTCGAATTGACTCGACCCACTGTGCGGCGGAAACTTACCATATCCGAGAGGTGATTGTCGCGCAAAGTGTAATTGTGCTTCCCTGCAGCCGCCTCCTCGTTGTGTTGGATGATGCGAATCAGATTCTGCTCCCACGCCAGTCTCCGGGCTGCTTCTGTATTCCTGTTGAATGTCTTGTTGTAGCGGCTCTATTAGAAACAACAGAGGAATTAAAGCACTACAAGAAACCGAAGAAGTCGTATAAGTTATCAAATGTGCCGTATTTCAATCCAAGTGAAGTTGAAGTTTCTCACTTTTTTTCCGGTATTGCTTTAGGTAGTTTTAAAATTTTCAAGGAAACGCCCAGATTCGTATAGGAACATTTCGCCTAACGACAAAACTGCACGACAAAAATTTGGAAGCAATTTGGAAGAGCTTAGCGAAACTGGAAAAATTATGCAGAGACTATATTTTGCAGTGAGGAACAAATACTTTTGGCTCGTTTTAGAAATAACATATGAGGGGCTTGGGGCTATGGAGGGGCATAAGTGCAGTTTCTTAAAAAATGTAGATATTCATGAACTCAGCTGAAACTAATTTGAAAGTATATTGTGAGAAAAATTAACAACTAAAATCCAATTTAAAAGCAGCAAAAGGTGAGTTTAAACTTCCTTTCTGCCACCAGGCTCCATGTATTTTGAAACTTTAACACGGATTTCTTGAAAAAGCAAAAACTGTACTCATGCGCCTTTGTCATGCAAGCTCCTCATATGAGTTATTAGTTTCCTTACGTAGATAAGTGTTTTTATGATAAGCCGGAAATAATAGTTCCTCGTTGCAAAATGTAGTCCAAATTGATTGAATCAAACAGATAGGAACTAAATGAAATATTAGAGGGGAAAATGAGCCAGGAAAAGTTTCAAGCTCATATTTTTGCCTCACTCACAGAAGCACTCATCTGTATGGGGAAGCTAATTGCACATACTTTAGTTGGTTATGGAATGAGCCAGAAAAACTCCTATCGCAAAGTGTAGTTTAGTTCGTCGTTAAAAAGCACCGGTGGTAAGTCGTGAGAAATGCATTCATACCGAAGGATCTGAAGTTGATGGGAACGACTTTAAAATCTGTTAATGAATAAATAGCTCCTAAAATTTCCCGCCGATGCCACTAATCTAACGTATGTGTCGTGAAATTGCATAGCTGAAATATTGAAGGAGAACACCGCGGCTCCCAGTTCCATGGAAATTCTATAATAGAGTGTGCACGATACAAAATTAGCTGTGCACGCTAGTGCACAAAGCATGTTGGATCTATTAAGCCGGCTAACTGTATTGTCTGATTGGGTATAACTTATTGAACGGCTCATGCAGTAAAATCACGTCCTCGACGTTTTTAATTTAACTGTCGCGATCTGACAATTTTCATTATTGATATCTTGTTTGTCAACTGAATGTGCAAGCATCAAACTCAAGTGCTCACAAAATAAGCACTGTGGGATTCGATTGGCAAACGAAAATAGTTTTTGGAGAAAAATCCAGAATTCCACTGTATTTATTTTAAAAAAATGTACCCTTGGTAGTACCAAAAACCGTGGTATTGGCACTGGTACCCCGTCTACAATCATTGACGGAAAAAAAGGTACACGGGCTTTATGTCCACTTTTTTTACGTCCAGAGACTTTTCGTCCACAATGTTTACGCCCACAGCACGCAATTTTTTTGTTTTTAACTTATTTGTACATCGACCTACTTGAGTCAAATACGTCCAATTTTGAGCGTTTAGTTGCGCTTACACCACGCTGCAGCAAAGTAAAAGCCCAAAACATAAAAGAATAAATTTGAATGCTTCGAAAATCATTAAATTTGACACGGAACCACTATTATATTTACAAAAAACACATTATATTTTCCAGTAGTACATATTTCTTTTTCATCAGTTTAAAAGGGAATAATCAATGCAGAGAGTGCAAACATTTCAAAATCATAAGTTGAAAAACGCTGACTCCGCGAGTTTAAATATTAGAGCCTAACACAGAGCGGAGCAGCGTGTCCAGCAGCGCAGAACGCGCACTGGCGCCTACAAACCTAACGGGATACTTCCCGCATTGCGCAACGCGTGAAGTATCCCGTTAGGTTTGTAGGTGCCTATGCGCGTGTCACGCTGGTTGCCTGCCGCGCCGCAAAGCTTTAAGCAACTATTTCGCGTCAGAGGCGTTGCACAGTATCTTACAATATTGAAGGCGCACGAAATAACTAGTTAAAGAGGACTTTCAATTTTGACTGCATCTATTACTGAAAAATGTTTAATTTGGCATTGAAGCGTTTCTTAGGCTCCCGTTTTGGTTTTCATCTTATCATATCCGTACAGTGTACACATGAACATATGTTTTTATCTGCTCTTAGAGACTGTTCTCTTTCATGACTTGATTCATGAATGAAATGTTTTTAAGAATGAAGGTAGTAGTAGTATGCATTTATTTTTGAGGTGGTTCCTGTCATTTAAATGAGAAGGAAAAAATGTGGACATAACATGTCCACAATTTGGACAATTTTGGACATATTCATGGTTGAACATTAAATCATGTGGACTTAATAAAGACCGGACTTAACGTTTGGTAGACATTAATAGTGGTGGACATTTATTTAATGGACGAAAGGTAGTGGACATAAAGTCCTGGAAGCGAAAAAAATAATACGATAATGTAATGACACTGTCTACTACACAGGCAATCGCAACACTATTGGATACTGTCAACACCTCAGCATATTTTTTCCCTTACATTTTTCGATTTCCATTTTTAACTCTAGTTTCAGTCAATCCAGTCCTTATTTTCAACTTTTTCACTTTATCCCTGTACAATCTTTAATAATGTCCCATAAAATTAATTACTAGACTTGCAACTGATACCTACATAGATTATAGCCAGCCAATCACGCGTAGCCTTGTTGTCTCACCACCCGTGACGTCAGCAAGACTATATAAGCGTGGGTCGCCTAAAAATCGAGGTCTTTTACCATCTCTACGACCCACGACCTGTGTAAACTCTCCCTTTGGTCTTTTTACCATCTTACGACCCACGACCCACGTCTCTCTCTCTCAGGTCTTTTACCATCCCCATGACCCACGAAACGTGTAACTCTCTCTCTGGTCTTTAACATCCCTACGACCCATGACCCGTGTCTCTTTCTCTCATCGGTTTTATTCCATCAGTAGTGCAACTCTTCACTTCAACTTTAACGCTGTGTAACTTAGTGACATTTAATTTGTGAAATCTGTGATATGTGCCTTCATCACGTCAATACAAGCTATTTCGTCTGAACTCTTGTTTTATCCTTTATCGATCATTCCTTAGTCAGTTTGTCAATCCTGACTCAAAAAGATTGACTGGTGCCGAAATAATTATCTCATCACAAACTTTATAACATGATTAGCGAAACCAATCGTTAATCATTACAGATACACAGACTGTTCGAGCACATTTTAACCATCATGTATTATGTGGCCATAATGAAACTTAATGATGATAGAATGATAGTAATCGTTTTAGGTTGAATTAAATGAGATGGTGGATTAATGTTTTTAGTGATGTATCTTTGCGAATCAAGGAAGTATTGTGAGAGAGCCACTGCACAGGGTGTTTCAATATATTGGTGATTTATAGAAGTGATGTTGATGATGATGATATTACCTTAAAATCATCCCAATGTGGATCTAATTCCATGTTGACTTGCGGTGTTCTCGTTTTTTCCGTGAGGTGTTCTTCAGTGAGGCTAAACAGGCTCCAAACTGAGGCCATAACAAGTGGGATGATCCTAAACGCAATAATGAAATGGTCGTGGCATATTAACAGGTCTAAATTCAAAAGACCAAATTTGACTTAACTTCATTATTTCCAGACACATATACCTTAATATTTTCAGTTTTCCGAAAATTGTCTTCTCGAATAGCAATGATCTTTTATTAGGTATTATAAACAGGACAAACTAATTTGTATGCATAAAAGTATTTTTTGCATTATATGCAAAAGAATTTCTTGGCATCTGGGATTTTTTCCCCTTATAAATTTGAGATCAATTTTGGAAAAATTAATGTATTTTTTACTTCTTTTTTGAATGTCTAGTCCATTACAAAAAACAGAAACAGCTGCTGTTTTGAGCTGCCGACTCAATGAGTTTTTGCACGTTTGATTGGCCGTACAGTCTTTATACCGATGACGTTAAATGTCGTCTCTGCAAAATGAGTCAATCGTATCAAAAACGTGCCATCTCCTATGAAACGCTGTTGAAGTGTTGTAATGTTTTAGTCTGTTCAAAAATGAATCAACTTTACGCATACCTACTCACTATTCTCCCCTGCGGAAAATGACGTATCATCTGACATCAAGTATCCACAACGCAAAAAAACTTGCACGATCTTTGCAGCGTTCCGGAAAAGATCATCATGCTTAATCCATATGCGAGTGAATACGATTGTTCATTTTAACATGTTTCTCGCAAGTATGAGTTCTCTCCAGGTACATATCTCAAACACAATTTATTTTAAAAAAGGATTCAAGTCATGTTTTCTTTCCTTTTTTCATATTAAGAATTCTATTTCGACCTAACTATCGAATACACGTTACATCCAATACTAGATCTGCACGAGAGAAATGGATATGTTTTAATAGCATCTCACTTAAACGTACGTTATTGTGTCCTAATTTAAATGCAAGAAAAAAGTCGTGAACCGTGAGCTCAAAATATGACGCATGCATTCAATCTGGAAGGTGTCTCAGAGCTCAAAAGTCTCTATCTTTCCCTTTCTTTTTAAGTAAACGTACATTGGATATGTTTAAGCACACGCTCCACCCTGAGTACAAATAATTTGTAAAATATCTCAAGCATAATCAAAAAAGCACCAGAATCTATTTATTTAATATTACATTTAAAACATTTTATTTTATAATATTTTTGAATGTAGGCATCTAATATTTCCTCCAGGAGATTATCTACAAGCCCCTCCCCTCCCATCTTAATTACAATGATCGCAGTCTGTATGCAATAATCATTAAATGTCATAGGTACTCACGCCTTCCATTTGTTGCCGGAAGCAAATTCCATTTTTGATGAACTTAAGAACTACTAGAAAACAACCAACAGATCTGAAACTATTTTTGATAAAAATTACTAAATAAATACACGAACTATGTCGCTGCGGCACTTTTCACTATTAGTTCACTTTTCATGAACATTTTAACGCGAGCATATGCCCTCACCAATGGAACTTTCATATCGTCCTTCTCTCTCACTCCTGTACAAAAAAAGCTCATTTCGTACATTAGTCATGACGTGCTCTGTTTGTTGTTACAAACTTCTCGAAACTTGTACTCACCTTGAGAGATTTGTTTGGAAAACAGTGGACTTTAGCGTAAGCGCCGTTTAGCGAAAATCTGCACAGTACCTGGGCTTCAAGTCTGAAAGCAGTATGGTGAAGCGAGGGCCACTTAATGTCCAAATTCCAAGACATTGGTCCACCTCCTCGGCATTTTCCAAGTGAGCTGAAACTATAGCTATGCAATTAAAAGTTTAGGAGAAGCTGCAGACCGGTAAAACAATTTTTACAATTTTTAAATTTTTCGTAAAAGTTGAGATACTCAGCAACGATGACAGTAAGATTGTCCCAAAAAGGTTGCTCGACACGATTTGATAAAGATTTTTGACATGAAATTCCTTACCTCAGCATAACTGGTCCTTCCATGGGGAAAATTGAAGTCGTTGCTCATTTTGACCGAAAGAAATCAGTTTTTGAAAAGCCTAGAATAGAAAACAGTGACGACTAACACGTACAAGATTAATGACAGAATAAACCACGAATTTCTGCATTCGGTACTCAGTAAGTATTTGTAGTTGTTACAAGTAAAACGGCTGTTGAATGAATTCTTAAAAGCAGATTTGATGTATGCTTTTTCCTGGGTTTTTCCTCCATCAATACATGGCTAAACATTCCTGGACGGTAATTCTTTGTTCCTCATCCATGGGGGACAGTAATCTCAGTTTAGTTCTTGAACACGAAAGAGTATTAAAAACTAAAAAGACAGGCGACATTTCGAGCCGTCGCAAGATCATTTTCAGCTGAAAAAATACAAATTGATGAAAAATTATAAGAACACCCCAGATCCCAATCATTGTTATTACTACGCATTCATCAGGAAGTTCAAAGTCCGTAAATTATTTAATTCATAAAGTTAATTAGGTATTTTAGTATTATTTTAAACGTCTTAATTTTTGTTTAAACTTGAATGTTTTAAAAAAAAAAAAAAGGGGGGGGAGGGTTGGCAGTGTTTACGGGGAGGGATTTTATCTCTTCATCGAGTCAAAATGGTCAGAACAACGTCTCATCGTGATTTAAAGACAGCAGCAAGGTTTTGACTCATCTCATTTATAATCAGCAACGTCATTTCACTAAAACCTTGGGGTGCAAGTGAGCTGACATGTCCCCTAGCACGATACCTATGAGTAAAGAAAAAAATCAAGTTTTCGGCAATGCGATCAATTTTTTTCGTTTAATATCTGGCCTTTTTGAATAAATGCCGTCACTGTATATAATTCTACAATCCCTCAGAAGTAGTGGTGTTTCTCGTGCACGAGATAGACGAAAGGACCCTGATAGGATGAGAGCCTCGAATAACGCAATCAAAATTGCAACTGGAGGAACGCACATCGGATGTCGAACCCCGGGCGATGTGCATCGTTGAAATGATCGCATACTTCGGCGTCTGCCATCGTCGAATTTCCATTAACTGATTCTTCGTTGCTGCCCTCGTCTCCTGCCATCTATTGCGCTGATGATTGAGGCTATACTCCTTCCAAAGTGTACAATGTCCATAAAAGTGGTTTGTCACAAAAGCGCAAAAAACTGTTTCGAGTACTGTGCGTTCTGCTACGACCTACCTTTTTAATACTGCTAATTAAAAAGGATTTTGGCTGTTTTGGCACACAATTAAATTATTTTTCGATTCTCCTCTAGTGGCTGATTAAGAATTCTTTCCTAACTCGATTTCGACCAAAATGGACACTATACACTTTGGAACTAGTAGCCTCAATTAAAAAGCACGGAGCACATTCTTTTAAAAAAAAACTATTTTTAGAACTGGAAAAGTTTGTATAATAATCAGCCATGCATATGCATATGAGGAGTAATAACGATGAGATTAATGGAGCTTTGGTTGGAGCAAGGTTATGACATCAAACTAAGAGGGATATTGGATCAAAATAATTACACATTTATTGAATATGCAATTTTAAATTACTAGATCTATAAAATATCGAAGACGACTGATTATGGATACAGGAGAAAAGGCCCTAAAGGTGTATACCCAAACCAAATCGTTCAGCACAGCGGGAAAATCGGGAAAACCGATTGATTTGGGGCAAAGGATATAAATTTTCAGTTTTTAACCCAAAAAGTAAAAGGGTAAAAGAGTAAAAAACTCTGATCCAAAACTCTCAAGAGCATTGAGTCAAAATTTTAAGCCATAATTTACATGATGCATGATGTTATGACCGTTTAGAATGAATTTTTCCAAAGCTGGTAAGTGGGCTGGCAAATTTAATTGTTTTTTGCCATCGAATGTGTCTATTATTTGGGATTTTAGTATAGTTATTTCGTATCAAATCGACTGATCTCTAAACTGTGATATGATTATCTAATTCAATTTTCCCCCTACCTTTAAGGCTCCTTCGCATGACATGGGTAATCACATTTTGTGAACTTTTAACATCCAAATTACGAAGGATTTAATTATACAGTCTCCAAATGTATAAATTTTTAAAATTTAGGAAAGTCAAAACTTCCGTTTTGTATGTTTCAAATTTTTATACTGGAGGAAAAACCCAGCACTACAATATCTTGTAATTTGTAAATCAAGAAAGCAATTCCGTTTCGAAATTGGTGCTACATCCGAATTTTCAAGTAAAACGAAACGGTTAACCGCGCAGTATCTCCGGCGCAAGAACGTAACTATTCGTACTTCGGTGTGTTTTGAGGTATCAAGTGAAATTGAAGGCGGATTGTGAACCTATTCCCCCGTTTGATGAGCCGGATCTTGTCTATTCAAGGACTTACCTAGTTCGTCTTCATCACGGAAACTTTTCATTTGTGATCAAAAACAGGAGAGGAATACTTCGTCCCCGGAAGAAACATTTTAAGTAGAGCGATTTTCTTCGAGTCAGATTAGTAAAATCAGATTTTAATACTCTATTGGAAAACTCTTTGTACTGATAGTAGAAAGAACAAGTTGCGAACGGTTTATACTCATTTAACGAATTTTTGTTGTAGGAACTATGTCAGTGGCGTGGCGTGCTTTGCGATGTATCGCTGTTCTGCCATTTAAACCTATGGTAAAGAATCGATTACCAAGGTGCTCGCTGCGAACACCCTGATTATCGATCCTTTTCCATAGGTTTAAATGACATAACAATCTATATATCGCAAAGCACGCCACGCCACTGAACTATGTCTGTTAATGAGTGAAAATAACATTAATTATGAAGTGCGCAAATTCCATGCAACTATAGTCCCTTTTGATGTATATACTTTGTAAATAATTTCTTCTAGTATTAATACGCCCATTTTTGTGTCAACGAAATGTAGAAAAATACGTTTTTATCCGGCAATTTTGAGATTTACACTTCTATTATTCAGTATTAAAAGCTCGAGATTTTCGCGCGACAACATATTTTTATGCTTTTTATTGACACAAAAATGGACGCGTATTTACTGAAAGAAACCGTGGAAATATTATTTGAATCAGAAGGAACTGTAACATAAATTTCTGAAATAAAAATAAACAGTTTGCAACTTATTTTTCAAGTCGCCAAAGAGAGTTTTCCTACAGAATAGGTATTAAAATCTGATTTTACCACCCAACTCGAAAAAAATCGCAATACTTAAAATGTTTCGTCCGTAGACGAATTTTCCTTCTTCCGTGTGTGACTACAAATGAAAATTTTCCGTGATAAAGGCGAGCTAAGTCCTTGAGTAGACAAGATCTGGATCATCAAACGAGGGAGAGATTCACGATCCGCCTTCAATTTCACGGGATACCGCATACCGCAAGATACTCCCAAGCACGAATAGTTACGTTCTAGCGCCTGAGATACTGCATGGATGTAAGCTGTAGTGTTAATAAGTAGACAAAAGGAGCGACGGAGTTGATCATTTTTAAAATATTACCTCTCGCCCATGAATCGACGGTCCAAAATCTCTCGGTGAGTGAATATTTGTTGATCAAGCCTCGGTAGGAGTCGGTTTCACGGAGTTGTTCTGTCGCGCAGTGGAATGATTTACCTACTAGAATAAGTCGGACATGAAATGTTCGGCTAAAATTTCAAATTTTTATGCTTATTTCGTAACAAATTCAATTTCAAGAGGTGTACCTGAAAGGCAATTTCCCGAAAAAACCAATAGAACCGCTCTTACACTTTTTTGTCTTATATTTTTACGAATATTAGCATCCAAAGTTTCCAGATTTTGTGCGACTTCTCCCATCGACTCGGTCCAGTGTTGTCGTATCCATTCCTTGCCAGCAGTTTTTTGTTGAGGATACCGCCGATTTTCTCTGAGCTGCCACACTGTCGAGGTGCATAATGTCAAACCAAAAAGAAATTATGAACACTTGACAGTACATTAGCTTAGAGTCTCAAACACTGTCCATCCATGGCTGACCTGATGAATGACGTTGATAGATTGTGATGTGGTGCTTTGCGCTAGGTTATCTTGCTTACAATTAGTACATTCAATGTGTGTGAATCGTTCTACTTGAATCCCGCGAGGAGACTTTGAAAAGTACCGGAATGCTTCGAATCGCACTAGTGGAGAGGCGTGAATGGTCGATCTATCAATACTACCGTGCAATGCAAAAACGCCGTAAACGCCATTTAACATTTTTTGGAAACAACGTATCATAGCAGAAAAAAAGACTCTGATTATCACTAATTTTTGCGAGTATTCCACTGTCGAATTCTGTCTGAAATCAGTCACCATTCTGAATAGGTGATAGACATCTACCTGCGATTAACGCCAAATTGTGTCTCTCTTCACGTTCTATTCAACAAGGTGTCACCCGATGGAGGCTCCCGTTCGAAATTAAGGAATTGCTTCCCACACCCCCCCCTCCCCCGGAAAAAAGGGGAGTCATAATTCCCCATGTAATTTGTACCCTCTTTCATTCAAAGAAGTTTCGTTCAAATCGCATGGCAAAATCTGCCATCGCTCTCGAGATATTAACAAGTATCCATATTTTGTGCACAACCTGTGATAACATGCCCCTCCCCCTCCCGGAAAACCAAAAGAGGCTTCGTGAAAAATACAGGAAATTACACCAGATATTCAGATATTCTTAATGATCACCGCAAACCGCTATTTCAATATGTATAAAAGGTCATTCTAAAGATGAAAAAACCGCACACAAACCCCAATGTCGCGAGCCCAAAAACGGGCGGTTTTTGGGCATTTTCGTGAAAACACTTTCTTTTTGGGTCTCTTTCGCCCTCGATATTTGTCAATGAGACTTAAAAGTTTCGTGCTAATTGTGAATCTCATTTGACTTTAATTTCGGGTTTTCGTAGGAAATTTTTCACCAGCTGAAGGACGCGCCTCTTCTGTCTTGTCTCTTATTCCGCAATGAGTGAGATGCAAAACTAGAGTTAAGTTGATTCGACGGTTGCCATTTTTTGTGACGGAGCGGCGCGCGATATATAGCATCAATTCGTTCCATAATTTCAGCTACTTGTCATTTTTTTCGAATTTTGAGATCGCATTTCTATTTTTATGGGGCAAACAAATGCATGTAACAAATTTGATAAAGAAATTCAACGCATTTAAGGCAGGGATTTTTTAGAGGAAAAATATCGCATTCGAGTGCAGTTTCGATATCAGTATCGAATGCGATACTTTTCCTCTACGGAAACCCTGCCTTTATTACTTTAATTATTTTAAGTTGATTCGACGGTTGCCATTTTTATTCTTTGTCATTGTCATTGTCTTTGAATTTCTTTGTCAAATTTGGTACATGAATTTTTTAGTCTCATGACATAACAAAGGTGTGATCTCAAAATTCGAAAAAATGACAAGTAGCTGCAATTATGGAACGAATCGATGCGATATATCGCACGTCGCTCTGACATAAAAAATGACAAGTATACTGTTATCGAAACTGCACTCGAATGCGATATTTTTCCTCTAAAAAAACCCTGCCTTTAATAAGTTGAATTTTTTTGTCCAATTCGGTACATGAATTTTTTAGTCTCATGACAACAGAGGTGCGATCTCAAAATTCGAAAAAAATGACAAGTAGCTGTAATTATGGAACGAATCGATGCGATATATCGCACGTCGCTCTGACACAAAAAAATGGCAACCGTCTAACCAACTTAAGTCAAATCTGATCGATATGTCGATGGTTGTTTACTCCCTGAGAGAAATCACACGTGGGTCTATTATTATAAGAGAATTATGGCTCTGTTCCACATCGTCTGACTCTGTTGATAAATTAATACAATGCAATAAAGATGCGCAATTTTCGAAACGCTCTTGTCTTCGCATTTGGCCAAAGCAGTGTGCAGCATTTTATTACCGAGTTTAGACTTAGTGATTCAGCCCCATGGCAAACGTAAATTCCTCCGCGTCATTCACTTCCACAAGAGGGTGTAGCATCACCTGAACGCAGATCCATACCTAAGTTTGACATTACCATTCAGAATAAACAACGCATTAAAAACCTTTGAATCCTCTGGCAAATAAAGTAGGTACGTATACATATTTTTGATTTAAAGAAAAGAAAAAAATTAAACTTGTCTTAGAACTCGTCATTAATTAAAACGTATTTTACGGTAAACCAAAGAAAATTAAAAATTTTATGCCAAAAGAACGTCCCGAACAATAGGCATAATGTAGGATAAAGAAGATGTCCTTCTGCAAAAAAGTGGATATTAGAGGCGAAAACACTACACAAATACAAATTCTGCTGATTCAGCGAAATGATTCGTATGTGAAAACGCGAATAAATAGTCTTATTCATTTACGATAATCAGTAGATGTTCACAGACTTACGTGTCGCGTGCAAGTGTTCAGAACGCCATAAAATGGAATGACTAACATTCAGCTGAATGCATGTGCTAAATAGAGCATAGAATTAGCGGGAGAGAGTGTAAAAATCAATGAAAAATATAACTTAGGGTAAGCATAAAGCCGAGAAATACTAGGGGAGTTTTTTCTCCCTGCTCGATCAGTTTTTGAAATTAAGCTAAATTCTAAACGGGGTAACCTCGTTGTGTGTATGAAAAAAGTATTGAACACACGACCACGAACTATGAGCCAGAATTCTAATTCCAAACGAAACAGAATGAAAAAAAAAAATTAAAATTATTTGAAAATTTTCGAGTGTTGAATAACCCGACTAGACGGACTAGACAGAACTGAAATTGAATTTGTGTCAGAGGGCTGGATCGCCCAAGGACTCGAGTGAAGATTGTAAGTGAGTGTGAGGCATACCATACGGGAGATAATCAGAGTAACGTGAGGAGCTATTCTAATGAACATTCTTGCACCCGGCTTGCTTGCAGAATTCTCTCCTCTAATTTCCCCCCGCCCCCCTACCTCTTCCCCTCATAATTAAAGCTTCAATTTTGCTGGGAATCAACACCTAAATTTTAAACATAATTATGCTCTTCATCAAAAAGTAGGGGGCAACGCCCCCTGTCCGCTTAGGGGTTCAACTCCCCGAAGCGTTTCTCGCCTCAGACGTTCGGCGTGACTCTGATGATTTTATATGAAAGAGTAGCATTTATTTTTTCGGAAATTTTAATCGGATATTTCGGTCAAGCATTTTTCTTTTAATTGGAATTTTAGAATCTATCTATATATAGATACCCAAATTTCGAATTTAGCTATCTACACTCACAATCAGTCGTTGACACACACGCTTTTCCCACTAGACCGCATTCGGCAGGCAAGTTTTTTGACTTAAATCAATAACTTAATAACTCAGAGATGTAAGTTGTGCGCCTCTGGCTACTTGATGAGCAATGATTTTGTCATGATTTGTCACTAAGAAGTTGGAATAATACTGAAACGATGCAAATAGTATCTACTTCGGTAAAGGGGGTTGCGCTCGGTAAGGGTCAAGTGCGTCAAATTAAAAATAGCGCCTTTCCAAGTTGCCAACGTAAAAACAACCCGAGAGTTCGAAACGCAAACTACTCTTTTCTCGAATATAACTATTATTTCTTGCCTGAATACCATAAAAAAAAACTTCTTACAACTATTCCTATCACAAATATTGATATTTGCTTTCTCTTTCGCTTTTTTCTCCCTCTTTCTTTTACATTCTTGAGGTTGGTTAAAATGACGGCATGATTGTTTTGGTTATGGCCGGTTTTAGGTTAGAAAATCTAGAAAATCTAAAAGTGAGCTCATGAAAGAAATCGACTTGCATGGTGAGCTTCAGAGTTTTTGTAGGTGACAGAGCTTTTTGGGATAAGAAAAACGTTGAATGAATGTGGTATCTGTGGCAACATAAGTTCGGCGAAATACTTCAGTGTACCAAATAATAAGAACGTAAGTAACACGTTGAATTGAAGTCATTTGGATGAACACTTCCGATTTCACAAACTTACTTAATGTCTCTGCTAGCAGCTTCCTTTTAACGTAAGTAGTTGCCCCTATTTGTACATAATCCCTTTCTTTTCAGTATCTCAAAATCCCTGCAGGAGGTATCATGTCATTGCAAAATGATGGCTGAACTCAGAATGCATTTCCATTGATTGCAGTGTTTTAGAACATCTGCACCTTGATTTTATCTTTTAAAGGGGACAGTGGTAACTTTGTCTCTTGAAATTTTCAGAACATTTTCCCCAAACAGAAGAGAAAAATTCCCCGAAATGCCCTTGAGTAGCTCCCAAAATCAATAACCTCGCAAGACAGGAGCTCTGCAACGTTGCGCATTCAGATACTTACGTGGTCTCTGAGAATACCTAGTTGTTGAAATATAACGACGGTGTGGGTCGGCAATCACATATCTCGTTTGCGGTGTCTGAAAATCTCCGCCTCTATGTTCTTTGTTCAAAGGAGAATAAAGTGACATCATTCCTTGGAGTTTGTGTAGAATTTCCCTGCACAGAGAAAAATAATCACGGCAGTTTCAAAGAATTGCCATTGAGTAGTTTTCCGTTAAAAAAAAATAAAGTATGACAGGAAGTCTGCGACGTCGCAAACTGAGTTATGTGATTGCCGGCTTACACTGTTGATAAGTGAATTGATTGGTTCACCCAAAGTTTTCTCTGTGTGTTTAAAAAGCTCACTCGGTATCATTAAGTACAGGAAAATAGCATCAGAGTCATGCTCTCAAATGAAGAACAGCTGATGATTTTTCTCAGAAGATGTCACACCTACACATTCACATGTGGATTACTTTTTCCAAAAAGGAACCAGAAGTATTGTAATGATGCTAAGATTGTGCATTTTCATCCTTTGCAATAATATTACTGAAATCATGAAAAAATATGAAATTTTAGATGGTAATTTTTGTCTTAAATTTACAGTTTTTAGTGAGTAAAATAGAAACTGTCAATGGATAATCAGGTATTATTCCAAGACAAAAGAAGTTGCACAATCTTAGCAACATTGCAATGCTCCTGGTTCCTTTTTTCAAAATGCAGTCCATATACTTAGGTCTCCGCTAAAAATTCTGCACCATATCCTGCAGCAATTTATTCATATGCAAAATATTTTGGCTTTTTACAAAGCACTACCATTTCAATCTTAGCATAGAGAAAAAAAGGAGGTGTTTGCATCTTGAGGATTGTTTACCCTGTGACATAGGTCGGATGAACATGGCGTCGATACTTCAGCAAAATCCGGAATTCGAAATATGAAAAACGGACCATAATGTATGATTTTTTTGCTTAAATCAACTCATGATATAATCTCAAACAGTTATTACAGAAAGACATTTTTCCATAAACTACACCAACTCAAAGAAAATCGATGATATAAATCGTTTGGACCGACCTATGTCATCAAAAAAATCCAAGTTGCCTGAAATGCAAACACCTCCTTTTTTTTCTCTATACAATCATAGGACTGATGGCTATTAAGGAACAACTGTGTGATGCCGTTGCAGAGGAGTTAGTGTAATCATTAATTCATCACTGACAAGTTACTACTTTGAGACAGTCAGATATGTTCATTTTTTCAGGTAACAAAAAATGATGACTCACAAATTGCCAGGTGTCCTTCTGAAAACTGATTTAAGCTTCCTGAAATGTCCTATTAGATGCAAAGGACAAGGACCTAATCATTGGGTAAGTTGGTTTTTCATTTCTAAAATGGAGTTTGTGAGTACGGAAGAATTCAACCTCAGAAGCTTGTTTCGATTTAACTTGTATTTGATGTATAGCACTATTTTCACTCAAATAGTAGAAAAATGAAGATCAGTCATGATTAACAGGCTAAAAGAGTCCTAATAAATCAAAAATCGAGTTAGACGTGACATATCATCCCAAACACAGAGGACAATACGCAGAGTACCACCAACTCTAGATTGGTGAAACGTCTGAAACACAGCATCAGTGGTATGAGGTGGTGGCAGTTTTTTTTAAGAAAAAAAAAACCTTCTTACAGACCAAGAGAACTAAAAAATATATGTACTACAAAAATGCCTGTGGTCTTCAAATTAATCAATAATCCGACTTATCATGAAAAGCAGGCTAGGTGTCAAATAGTTGGTTTCGAGTTACATATTCACCTTTTTCTGAAAACTGCCACGGCTTGTACCACTGATGCTGTGTTTTAGACACCATGAGCCTTACTCTAGATTTAGCGGCACTTAGCTTGTTATGCAGCGTATTGTCCTTGGTGTTTGGAATAATATGTCACGTCTAACTCAATTTTTGTTTCATTGGCACTTACCTAGCTTGTTATTAATGATTAAACTTCATTTTTCTAATATTTTAATGAAGCTAGTATAGTACATTACATCAAACTTAAGTTAAACCAGAACAAGTTTCTTTTTTTTTTAAAAAAAAAAGAAGAAAAAATGAGTTACAAATTGAAACCACAAATATCTATCAATTAATGGATAGAGTCAGTGACTTTCATCTGTTTCCCATTAACTTTTTGAGAGGCAATGAAATTTTCTGTGTAAAATATCAATTTGAAAATCGTATTATATTCATTGGAATAGAATGCAAACAAAAGAGATCCATGAACCCTCGTACAGAACGGGAAATGCTATGAGTTTTCAAGTGCTCGACAAGTGTATCAAGTGTCCCTGACAGAGATCATTCATGCTGAAGTGGCTCATTTTCACCATCCGTGTTTGCCTACAAAAGGTGAAAATACATTGAAAGGTGCTGGAAATTCCCCAGGACCAAAAAAAGTCGCTCTCATAGGGGATTGTCTGCCTCTTGAAGGTTTCTGCCACTGCAGGCAGTTTTTTTTCCTCTGGGGAGATGAAATTCTACTCTGAATCACCTGTTGTTTATTTACTTCTTTGTTCCTTTATTCATTTTTTGGGGGGCCACTTTAAAATCCATGCTTTAATTGATCCTGGTTTTGGTATTATCAGGAATTGTAACAGAGGGGACACCTTTCATCAGTAAATCTGTATCAATTTATGTAATTCTAAATTTTCAAATTTTCATGTATCTCTACATTTTAATTTTTTCAATTTCAGGCTGTTTTAAGGAGAACAAAATTCCCCAAAGATCATGCCATGGAACATTTTGATGATTTTTATGCCAATGTTTATGGTGCAAGAAAATGGAAGTCAATGCGTCTGGCACTGTTATGCCCGAAGAAATATTGTGCAGTTGTAAATAATTACAGTGATGCCGACAAAATTATGAATAAATTAGAGGTTTGTGTAATTCTTGGGCTTTTGTTCTAGATTTCTGGTGTCCCTGACATTTTAATGAAACTGTCATTTGTTGAGAAAAAAATCTCAAAATAAACTCTCTGTACACTCGAGATTTTTCATGTTTGACAACATAACTGTCATGAAGATTTGAATTTGCCACACAGACAACCTAATGTTTATTCTTAGATTTAATTAATTTCCAAAAAATTAATGGTATCGGTGATCGTTGTGCTAGGGAGTGGTGTTTGCGTAGCAGGTAAGTTTGCTTTCTTGCAAGGAATACTGAGCTCTTTAAATATACCTCAACATGAAAAGTAGATTCCCAAATTCAACAAAATATTTTGCCTAATGTTATGACCCAATTCAACAAAAATGTTGCTACAAACATACTTTTATCGTCCAATAAACATCCATTCTTGCTAATTCAAGCATTTATTCCTCTAAAAGTGATTACTTTTTAAAATGTATTTGTACTTGATGAATGATACATGGTTTATTCATTAATTTTCTAGAATAAAGGTGCTGTAAATGTAAGGCGAATGTTCGAACTTAGAGCTGAGAAACTTGCAGAGGAACCAAGCAACTACTTGGAGCCATTAAAGAAGGATGAAGTATATAAACTTGACCTTGATGCAAAAATGAACACCTTAAGGATTTCATCGCTAGAGAAAGAAGCTCAGAAAAAGATTCCAAATGTACCCTTAGACAAGACTTTAACGTATATGCAATCTGCTGATGTAGAGGTTGAGTCTCCTGCCGCTGAGAAGCCGTGAGTTTTGAGAATTATAATTATTCTTTCAATCTTACCACAACACACTGTAATTTTCTAACTATCCAATAAAGTGTGAAGTGCAATTGACAAAATTACTGCCTTGCCTCTAGCAAGGCTACATTCAAGTATTTGATTTGATTCACATTTTGGGCTCACCATCAGCTTTTCCTAATTATGGGCTTTGATCTGTAGCCCATCTCAATGTCACCAACTTCCCTCAAATAATGACAATTTGTTGTGACCATATTGCGCACCTCTTTGCAGCTTCATTAGGTTGCATAGCCGAAAAAATCTGTCGGGTTGGGTCAATTCGACTCAGGAAAGACAAGAATTGGACCGCGTTTAACAGAAAGGAACCAAGCCACATCAGCTATTGCCAATTTTAACTGGGCAATTTATTTTTTTACGAGAAAACGTTTGCTCGGATCCCTTTGAAAATGTTGAGGAATTTGCTTCGTACGATGGAGAAAATTCACTGAAATTTGCACGAAAATCCGCACAACTGTTTTCATGTAAAAAATTAAATTAGCAAATTCAATTTGGCAATAGCTGATGTGGCTTGGTTCCTTTCTGTTTAACGCGGTCCAATTAGTGTAATTAAGTGAAATGACTGACCAATCACACAACTTGCTTTCAATGTAATCTTACTTTGCTCCTGTGTCCATGAACTTTTTTTAAAAAATCAACCCCTTGGCTTTATGAAGACCTTTTTGTACTTCTTCATAAAATCTCCAGGGTTGCCAGCAGTCTGAAAAATTAGGGAATTTTTGACGATAGGGAAAAGCCCGGGCATTAGTGGGAAAAGTCAAGGAATCACTAACACATCTACTAATCACTGAAACACATCACCAATCTTCCAGTTGTTTACCTTTTCTTGTCATTTTAAAGGCCTCTCATATTTTTACCACTGAATGCCTTCATACATAAATTGATCTCTAAACAAGGAAAGTTTAGCCTGAGTTCAGACAAAGTCAACAAAAAAAAAAAAAAAAAAATTTGAAATTTTGTTTGAAGGTCAAGGGAAGTTAGGGAATAAGGGAGAAGCAAGGAATTTGAAGACGAAATCATGGCAATTATGAATCTCCCAAACTTATTAACTCTGGCTCTCTTATATTTCAGAGCTGCACTGATGAATACCGAAGATGATGAAGAGCCTCCAAGCCCCATTGATGATGGAGGGAATTTAGAACCCACTGAAGAAGAGATCAAAAGTCGTCTTGTGCGGTCTGCGGATGCTCTTTATGATTTTGTGCCTGCAACCAAGCTTCAGGGACTAGAGGATTATGTTCCTGAATCAAAACATTATGGGTACTATGAGACAGAGAGTGAGTTTCCAATCTACATCACTGAAGATGCACCCATCGTTTTCCCCTCTAATCTGAATATTTACACCTATGAAACAGGCAACATAGAAGATTTCAGCTCCCCAAAGCGAGGATCAACAGACCTTTTTGGTATGTATCTCTCTAAAACTTTATTCTTTCTTTTCAATTTAATATGTCTTTCATTCATAGCTTAAAAGGTCATTTGAATATGGTAGAATGCTCTTGAAGAATGCGTTTTATTGCTGTTGTCGTGCAGGGTTATAGGAGGTGGAGAAGTTTTACCTGAATGTAATACAGCAGATTTTTTTATACCTTTACAGGTTAACAGGAATATTACCAATTTCTTTGCTTTTTTTCGTTTATCAACTGTATTACCTTTTTTATTCCATAAAGCCCATGCCCCAGCCTGGTCAATTAATTTATTATTTGAATTTTAATCGTATATATGCCGGATCTCTTTTCAACGAAAAATAATCACAGACAATATGCTTTAAAGAGCATGGGAGAAGCTTTTAGGTGGTGGTTGCCATCAAAATGATTTCCTTGCTCTGTTGATGTAAGATAAGGTTAGGTTAATTTTAGAAATACCCATAGAAACAAGGTACGAAATTATCCTAATTTGAAAAATTTCAGATTATTATTTTTTACGTAAAGTCATTAAAAGCTTCACAAAATTATTCTCATTGACTTTACAGATATCTTTTGATTTCCATTCATGTTTTTATCGACTAGATTTTGATGTATTAGTTTCTTTTTTCTTTGCAGATTATTTTCTGTTGGACGGAGCCAGTTTGTTTCCTATCCTTGCATTAAATCTACAGCCTAATGACAGGATTCTAGATTTGTGTGCTGCGCCAGGAGGAAAATCGTTAATAATGCTCCAAACATTGTTTCCCAGTAAGTGAAGGAAGCAGACATTCCAGTCGATACTAACATAAAATATATTTTTGGATTTTGAATTCTAAAATGATTATTTTTCTTCATATTCAATGGGTCCCCACACTATTAATGTGTATCTTACCACTGGAAAGGAAGTGATGAAAACATACCATTATAAAATAAGGTCACTACTAGGGGCTGCATGTATGCAGTACCAACTCCAAGATGGGAGTAATATTAGTATGAGAGGAAGAGTTAAATTGAACTTTAGGCTTCTGTTTTGTACTCCTGTATTTTTCTGTTTTGAATAGTTCAGTATTCTAGTATGGTATTTTAGTCAATGAGCTCACAGATAGATGCCTCATCAATTGCCTAATTCATACTACAGATATTACAATTCATGGGTTAACTGGCAAGCCTAAGCCCAGTTTTTCTTGAACAGCCATTGATGGCTCATTCCATTTGGACATATTTATGCTAAAGGAACTGTGTGCATAGGGTTTGCATGAGATATGGTTCCTGTTAGCATAAATAGGTCCATTTAATGTTTCATGACAGGAACACATACTGTTCCAGTATCGTAGCTTTTGTAAGGATTGTTTTCATCCTGAAAAACATTTTTTTTGCTCTTCTAGGATTTCTTACCTGCAATGATTTTTCTGAAACAAGATTAAAAAGATTAAGGTATATACTGAAAGACTATTTCACGGATATCGATGACAAAGTTTCAGTAACTAATATCAATGGATCACAATACCAAGAAGAGACCAATTTTTATAATAAGGTAAGAATGTTTGAAGTAAGAACCCTTGCCCCCTTGCTGCATCATTTAGAAGTAACATAGCATATTCCAGGGTGTCTACAAGTCCGGAAATTCTGCAAGAGGTCCGGAATATTTTTCATTTTTTTGTCAGTTTTGTCTCAATTTGAGCGAGAAAAATTCAAATTTTTGAAATCATTCGAATTTTACCAAACGGAGGTACCTACTGAAAAAGTACTGAATTTTTCTGTTGAGGTACTGAATTTTTTGGGAATTTACTGAAAAAGTGCTGAAGAAGCACTGATTTTTGGCCAGCCTATTTTAGTAGACACCCTGATATTCCCATGATCTGTGTCTCGAATTTAAATCGACCGATTAAGTGATGATAAATCATATTCATTGATATCATCCATGAAAAAACCAATCGCTACTATACATTTGCGGTAAGATATTTGCTGTTATGTAGTGAAAACCAACTAATTTCCTAGCCTTTTTTAATTTGATGTCAACATTGTATGGAGCCTTTTCAATTTGAAATTTCATTTATCCTTTACAGCCAGGAAAGCCAAAGTCCTTGAAACTCCATCTTAAGGAGCATAATTCGTCATTTGCTACACTGTAATTCTCCCTTCATTAATTTAGCAAAGTTTTGGTGTCAAAGGTCATTTAAAGAAAGAGATAATTGGAATCCTTTAATTGTAAATGAAGTGATCTTTAAAGTTCAGTAACAAATCTGTAGCATTGTTTTTATTGTGTACTATTTTTCTTCTGTTTTTAGATCTTGGTTGATGTTCCTTGTACAACTGATAGGCTCAGTGTGAATGACAACGATGACAATATTTTCGCTCCGAACAGAATCCAAGAAAGGCTGCAGTTACCAGAAGCGCAGGCTGCATTATTAGTGTAAGTGCTCAAATGTACATAATCATTTAGTTTGGTACTTTTCATTGTTGTTTGATTATCTGGTAATTTCAAGTTTTTCGACAGTATTCTTACGGTAATTTTTGAAAGCAAATTTTGTGTAAAGCCTGCCTTTTATTTTCCAGGGAAGAAATTCACATTGATCTCAAAATTGCCCTGTGTACACTGGTCAAAACTTTACATAAACGTCTAAAACATTAAAACGTTTTCTATAATAATAACTAACATATAACCTCTACACAAAACTGTCATAATGTATCACAGAGGAACATCTCAAGCAACATGCATTTTTGTATTATCCTCAATATACTTAAGATTTAGTAATCATATGCCTCTATTTATCTTTATTCCAAATTATTTTAATCATTTATTTGATCGTTGATTTTCTTTGATACAGAAATGCATTGAAGCTGGTAACTGTAGGTGGAACAGTTGTTTATTCAACTTGCACTCTATCGCCAATCCAGAATGATGGTGTCGTGCATATGGCTTTGAAAAAGATTTGGGAAGAAACCGAACTCCAGTTTGTGATCAAGTAAGTTTCTATTTTCTGACCAGAATGGATGAGTCAAAAGTATTAATGCACGAAACTGAATAACTCACTTTCTAATGTTTTTCAAGATTTATCAAATCTCTTTTCTTTCTTTTTTTCTCACTGTAGTCAGCTTATACCTTCAGTGTATAATCTTATTAAGGATAAAAAGATGGCACAAGTTTTTGAACAAGTTTTTCTGTTCGCTCACTTATTTGTACATGATTGCTGTCCCTTTGACAGAATATTTTGCAATTTCCTTTTGATGTTTTGCCTTAAACTCTTTCAGATAGAATGGTTCAATTTGTTTGTCTAAGGAAAGTATTCTCTTCTTTTCTCTTAAAGTGATCTCTCCTTTTGTTCAACTACGCGCAGTCTATCCAGAGAATGTAAACACACCATACCTTTCTACGATAATGATTTTATCTTCTTCCCTTATTTAAATGTATGCTTTTCGTAATTATTTTAAACCGTAACCCTGATCTTCTTATGTTCCCAGGGATATGTCTAAAGTTCTGGAGGTAGCAAGACCGCTCTTCCCATTGGAAACCAAATTAGATTTAAAATACGGGCACCTTGTTTGTCCTTACCTACCAGCAAATTTTGGCCCTATGTATTTTTGCAAGCTTGTGCGAGTAAAATAAGGAAGTAGGTGATTTTTCTCATTATTAAATCATAATTGAATTTTTTATTATTTTCCCATGATTTAGTACAGCTTTAGTACTTTACATTTCATTTTTGCATTTGATTTTGCGAGAGCTGAGCAGGAGGAAACTCATGAGCTAGTAACCTTTGATCTCCTAAAATATCGAGAAGTTGACGACCAATATTGATTCCCCCCTTCTCCATAATGAAATCGTGCAGGCCAACATCCACTTCTTATTCTGAAGGTTTTGTCAAGATTTTGTCTTAAAATTCCCAAGCAAAAATCTGACATTATCTAATTCTTAAATCATTGTTTCTCCCTGAAGCTCTGCTTAAGAGGCAGCTGTGTGGATTTTCCAATAATAAATGGATTGTGACTCAAAGATCACAGCTAATGTCATGAAGCCAGCTCTTTTGGTTAGTAGTAAATCCAAACTTTTCAACAATTAAAGTTGTTTGTTTTTGGATGGCAAGCAGATTGAATACTTTTTTAATTTCTATTTGACAGTAGTTGAATTTTTACTCTAATGAAAGACTTCTTCTGCCAACTACTGTTTTCAGCTGATTACTCCGATGTTTTAAAACCGGAGCCGACATCAATACAAATCAATCAATTAGATCCATTTTTTCTGTCATTGTTTAATTGGATGCAAATTTTATTTGCCAAAAATAAATTGAGCTATACCGTGCTTTCACAAATTAATTTATTTATTCATTTGTACCCAGAAACTTTTTGAGGTCTATCATATGATGCTGTTGCAGGTTTTTCTTTTTTATAGAATCATTTTTGCCCAAAAATCAATGTGAGAAAGGCAAAATTCGAAATTTAGACGCAAACATCCGGCACTTACAATACTTGTGCATGTATTAAATCAGAGGGATTAGTGTATAATAAATAACGCAATTTGTGCACAATTTTGTGAATAGTTTTGAATTGATAACAAGTGATGAAACTCAATAATTTACGGTGGGAAGGGGGCATTTCTCAGGAAGAACCTTGAATGAAGGGATGCATTCAATTTATTTTCGTCTAAGTACAAATAAGTTTACAATAAAGCTGATAAACAAATAACAAAAAAACAAAAAAAAAGAATATAAAACACTCACTAATGACATCTGTACCTGTATAGACTTTATAGAAAACACTTGTAGAGATTTAGGTATCTTTAGTCAGCTCAAAAATTAAACTTGAAAATTCAGGGTATTCTAACCTGCAGAGAGAGAATTTTTAGCGCGTTACGTTTCGTGATTTCTCATCAAGACTTCATGAAAATGAAGTTTGCACATTGAAAATTTCTCAAAGTAATCCTTGTAAGAGATCTCAACATTTTTCACATTCAAACGTCGTACGAAGAAACAAAAATTTCCGCCAGTCAAATTTTGTACTAGAGAATTGTTGGTTTGTTTTACAAAAATTGAAGTATAGGGTGTCTAAATTACAGATACACTGAATAAGCATGGATTATCAAAAGTTGATATAGAAGCACAGCAAATGAACGGATTCCTATGAAGAGCAGGGATGCAGAGGATTTTTGTGATGAACTTTAAAAATAACCTCAAGCAAAATCCAACATAGTCCATTTTATCAAGCTTCTGCCCTCCGATTCCTCATGTTTTTGTAAATTTCGCTTCATCTCTCATCATTCCTACATTCCAGTTTGCGAATCAGACTTTCTCAGGATTTCTGTTTTGCTGCTCAAAGCTTAAGATGACCTCGTTTTTCTCGAATCAACACTAAAGCTCTTATTATGCTTGCATTACTAAATATTAAATATCATCTGGAGCATTGAGAACCAAGCACTAATAGCTTTTTCATGGATCGATCTGTGAAATTTTTTCTCTATACTTTTGTCTTCATTTTTGGGGGCCAATTACCTTCAAAACTTTATCATGTATGTCTGATTGTGTTAGTGCAAGTCTTTAATCATGTTTTATATTTTGAAAGGAAACCGACCAATATTTTTTCCTCATTTTTTTCACTCGTTCGAAAAAAATTAACAGAAAATTTGAAAATATTTTGCCTAATATTACTCTAAAAAAAAAAAAAATTGAAAGTAACCTGACATTTCTAAATGTTGCACAGAGATATGCATCATTCAACACTGACTATCCATATACTCTTGAGACATGCATCCACTTCCTGATAATCCAATTTTTAACATAAACCTTATAATAGCCCTATTCAATAATACACCAAAGTGGTGTCAATGCAAAGAACTATTTTCTGTAAGATCCTTTCTAGTAGAGCTAGTTGAGGAGGTGGCCATTTGAATAAATTGATTAGGGATTGGAGAATATAGTCCCTGGCAGATGGATATTATTTTCTGGGGCTCTCTCCTTAAAAGAATTGAAAAATAAACTCCCTCAGGTTAACAATTCAAGCAAACTCAGATCACATTTATTATATCTGTGATTGATAGTTGAAAAATTGACAGGCTTTATGTAAGGCTTTAAAACAAATACATATTTTTAAAATCATTTGTTTTGACCAAGAAAATAAGCAGAACCGGCAAAAAAAGAAGAAGAAATGGTTCATTCACTCTTATTGAATGTGGAGCTATTTGTCCTCACCCACCATCAATCAATCAATGATATCCATCAAAGCGCGCTCGATCAAAAAATATACCTGAAGTACACTAGTACCCATATAGAAAGAGTGCGGACATGTCGAAGTATGGAGCTCTTAGGGCCCAAAAGAGCAGAGAACATTTAAAAATGAAGAACAACACCGTCAATCTTCAGATTCCAGTATCAAATCAAATGGCCAAGTATTTTTTACCTAAATGAGCGTTCACCCGCAAAAATGAGTAAATTCATGCAAAAACTAGGTCAAACAGGGCCGGATTTACCTACTTGCCGCCCATGTGCCGCTAGTATTTTGCCGCCCCCTTCTCATTCGTTTTGAAACATCAATGAAAACCATCAAATGAACGTGCTAGCGGGGGAGGGATGCATAAGACGCGTTTACTGGTGTTGAACACATTTTTTAGGAAAGCCCTGTCAACACTACTAGCAAAAGTTCACGGAACTTTGCGCGAAAGTTTCGTAAACCTATCTCTGTGTAAACAAGGCCTTCCATTCATAAGAAATGAACGAAAACATTTTGAAAGAACAAACGTAAATGTGGATTAATGATTTTAACTTCCGCCGCCGCGCCTCGCAGACCGCACTGTGTTTGACGCAATACTCGAAGTATTCACGCAGTCTTGTAGGCGCTATGCGTCTCACGCTGATCGCACTGTGTTTGCCGCAATGCGTGAGGTATTCATGCATTCTTGTAGGCGCTGTCCATTTCACGCTGTCCGCAATGACCGCACTGTGTTTGATGCAATGCGTGAAGTATTCGTGCAGTCTTTTAGGCGCTAATATGTTTCACCTGCCGATCGCCGCGCTGAGGGCTTCTCCTTTTCATCTCAAGTCCTCGTCATCATTTACTCTAAGTAAGTCGCGCCGTTCCAGGCCAAATTGCGTGTTTGGTGGTTTCTCTCTTAACTCGACTAATTAAAGGTGCTGCCTCTTATATCACTGAAAGACGACAAAAGTAGAAATTACTATACTCTCAGAAAATTAGAAATTTTGTCGTCTTTTCTCGTTTATAATTTTTTTTTTTCTAAATCCGAATTTTTTTTATACCTACATTTAAAAAAAATTGCAAAATTTGCCGCCCCCTATAGATTTGTCGCCATATATGGGCCGCGGCCCATGTGGCCACCCCCTTACCTAATCCGGCCCTGAGGTCAAATACGTGCTTAAACGTGCTTCACTGCTACCGGTCGTAACAATTGTAATAATGTATCACCGTAATAATTTGAATTCATAGGTTGACCACTCTTTTGGGCCCTAAGAGCTCCATCATTAAGCCGCAAAATCACCGACATGTCACACAAGTGCGTAACTACCTTCACGCTGCTCCAGAGAAAGTATGCGTGTATCCAATTCCATGCAGCAACCACTTCAACTTCGGTGTCGTGAAATTGCATAGCCGTCGAAAATGAAGGCGAACCTAGCGAATACGCCGCGTCGCGTTCATCAGCGTTCGCGGCGGTACTTTCAATTTTTTTACATTCCAGCGGGCTGATTATCGAAATTGATAGACAAAGCTGTAGGCAAAGAGGACAAAAGAGATATGGAGGGATCCTGTTGGTGAAAACTGGTGGTTGCGATGGACAAAGGAGGTAGGTGATAGACTTACTAACGGCAACCTACAAGAGACCCTATTGTTAGTCCATCATTTTCTCCCTTAGTCTGTAAGAACCGCCAATTTTAACCTATAGGATCGCTCCATACTCCCTATGTCTCCTTTGTCTATCGCTGTGTCTATCAATGTCAATAATCAGCTCACTGTGCTGCTTTTTACCGCGGGTGCGCGACTTGCCATAGATTGAGAGTGAGACCCGTTTCGAATGCGAGCGATTTTCGTATAAGCAAGACTTGAGGCTCAGGCATGGCAGCTGGTTCTATGGCTCCACGGTCAGAAGTAATCTCCTTGGTGCTGCTCAGAACATCAAATGTCAAACGATCATCGCCTTCGCTGCCGCACCGCGCCGGTCGAAGGAAACCAGTGTCGATTCGAATGGACATCACTTAATTGAGAGACAAAAAATTTAACCGATCTATATAGACCTGGATCAATCGATATAAGTGTGAATCGATCGCCAGTCGCTCGACATAGCCGTGAATAGATCGATGAAGCCTTGAACCGATCGAATTATGTGAGAATCGATCCATGAAGCCTTGAACCGATCGAAAACACCATGAATGTATCGACAAACCCGTGAATCGATCGGCAAACCCGAGAATCGATCGAGTGGCTGTCGTCGGTTCAAGTTTTCATTTTTCGATCGATTCATCTCGATCGAATCCGTACTTTCTGTTTTTGATCATGCGTTCCTACTTGCGGTGGTTTACCTTTCACCATCACCATTGTCCGATCCAAGAGGGGAAAATGGTACCATTCATGAGGAAGGAGCATTGGCAGAATCAGGAGAGAGACCACGCCCCAAGTAGCACAATGCAGCGGATTTATGGAAATTATTTTGCAATTCAGTTACATAAAATCGCAGTTTTTTTACCACAAAATTTCATTCCTCTTACATCCTTTATTCAATAGATGCCAATTTTGAACGATCCAGAAAAATGAGTTCCATGTGAGAAAGATGGGCACCTTGCAATGCAAAAAAAATAGCAGTTTTATTTCAAGTTTCAATAAGAGGAGCCCCTTCAATTATTGAATAGGCAACATACACAACAGATACAAAAGCACAATTTTACCGTGCGACTACATCTATACTAATCTGTGCTACTTGGGCGGTGACAAATGATGCCAAAAACATTATTTTAAATGGATAACACCCGTCAATGTTCACTGTCCAGTTTTAAAACATGTAATCTGATTTTGTAAAAAAATGCGTCACTGTCCTAAGAAAAATCGTCCGGGAAGGACCTACGGGCCCTTGTCCTGGGTTGTGGTAAGTATATAATTATTCAGATGTTGAGCTAAGATCCCACTGCATCTGAGAGTCATCTCCTGAATGCACCGCTGAGATTTGATGCATGAAATGGCATTTCTCACTTCGTTCCTCGGATTCGTTTCGCGCGGACCGGCAAGTTGCTTCACACTCCCAAGTCCGCACCAAGGCCAAGACTCAACCAGTTTAGGCGGCACTTATTGTTGGCGTAGGTCAGTGTATCATCGACCA